GGAAATTTGGTATACAGCAGTTTACATTTTAGACTTACTTGGCTGGAACTTTGGAGTGCTAGTCCTATGTATAGAGGAAAGATGTGGCCACCTGTTGCCTGTAAGGGTGCACAGTCACAGTAACACAGTAGCACAGGCGACAGAAATGTCGCCAACAGTGTTACACCTTATTTTCAGTTAGCAAATCATCAGGATTTTTTTTCGGTGGTATTGACTTCCATATGTTTATTTCAGAAATGGTATTCAGGTGTGGCTATTTCTCTTTCTGCATGTACAGTGTAGGTTAATACAAGCTGATAAGAGTAATTTCTCCTTGTACGGAGTGGCTCGGGTAGGTGGACAAGGCACTGAGTGATAACTTTCTATTCACAGAAAGGCCTGCCTACTTTGTGAATTTCTGTTCTGGTTGGAGAAGTCCCTCACAATCAGCTTTATTTTTAAATCAATTTAAATAGTGTTTTTGTGTATCTCTGCTTGCTGGGGAAAGTGTGCTAGCTAGCAAGATAGAAGTACACAGTTGGTATCTCACACAGACAGCTTGCTCATCTGATCCAGGTACAGTAGCATGGATAGAGATGAAGACAACTACTATGGAAAACATGGTAATTTGCTTGCTTTTTAAAGACAATTCAAAACACCTGATCTAAATCTCATGCATTTGAGCTGTGTTATTTCAATTGATTTAAATGGGGTTGGATCCAGACTCAAATGGTTTTCTGTAAATTCTTCAGTTATTAACAATATTCTTATTTTTTCCTGCATGTCATTTGCTAGTTTATTTAAATTGCACATTGAAGATAAATTTTACATGTGTATCTAGTCAATTTTTATTTTAGGTAAGTAATTTAGAGTTGCTTTTTAAAATTATTACAGTGTTTTATTTAATTTATTAAATTTCATTAGATTAGATTTATTAAATTTATTAAAGTGTAACAATTAACTTCATATGCTTTTTGGAGTCAGAATTTGTAAATTTCTTGTGAGTTATTTCTTGTAATGATATTTTACTTCATTATACAAAAGTTTCATATTATAAGGCAGCCTCTAAAATAGATCTGTCTCATCTGCAAGGAACAAATATAATCCCAGTTTTTAATCTTAGCAAGAGCTGCCAGTCCCCTCTCACCACTGCTTTCTTCCTTATGCCTACCAAACTCCTAAAGCTTGGAATTTGCCTTCTAAATGCATCTGGGCTTTTGTTGCTGGGGAAGTGGTTTGCTTTTACCAGGAATTATGTAGATACTAGAAAGATAAATAATTCCCACCTCACCCCACAAAAAAAAAGTCTGTATTTTTAAAGAATAGTAGTAATTAAATAGGGAATTTGAATTTAATTTAGAATTAAGTTAGAAAAATTAGATTAAACAAATGGCATTTTTCTTTTTTTTTTCCTGTTATTCCATGAAACTGATCACAGTTGTGATCAGCTGTGTCATGTTTTGGTAATGAGTGTTCCAGGGATCCAGACTACTTCTGACATTGAATTCCAGTGTATTTTGAACTTAGAATGTTGTTACCATTTCTTACCATATTCTGCAATGAATTTATACCAAGACCTCAGTGACAGAGGAGGTAGTTTGAGCCGTGTTGCCCTACACCATGCCATCACAAGCATACAGACTGCTGGTGTGAGGAAGCACTTGGAAGGAGTTTGCTGTACTGCAGTAATTTTACGGCTGTTAATGGTGGTTACTATTTCATAACATCCGTCTTCTTGCTTGTTGGAGATGAGAGTCTCCATTTGAGTTAAAGCTCCCTTTTTGTAGTGCTTTGTTTTTATCCTCTTATTTATTACATCCATTTGGCTGTCTGTGTGCTGAGATGTTACATTTTCTTGTTCTCTTCCCAAGTGGTAATTGTGTAATCCCTTCTTAAAAACTTCAGGTGATGAAAACTCCAGTGTATGTCCCAGTATATAATTGTGTTCTGAAAGATTTCCTAATGCCTAATCTAAACTATCCTTGCTGCAAATGAAGTTAGCTTATCTGACTGGTAGAGGAAACAGAACTACTGATCGTGGTCTCTTTTGTGTGAAGATTGAAGACTCTTATTTTGTGCTTCTTTGTATAATCACAGACATTGAAGTTGCATTCATTTACTGCTTTCTGTAAATCTCCTAATATCTTCTTTTAAATAAATCCCTCTACTCTTCCCAATTTGTTTGTATCTTCTGAAATTCTAGTGCCATGATCTAGAAATAGTTATTCATCTGAGGCCTCACATGTCCCCAGGTACAAGGAACGGTGACTTTTTCAGTCGTGCTCATACATCTTGAAAGAGTGGTGCTTTTTTTGCCGACATTGTTTGACTGACTCATTCTTTCTTTGTAGTGTGCTTCAATCCTTTAGGTTTCTTCTCAACAGCGTTTTTGAAATCAATTGTTCTGTATGGATTTCTGAATAGAGTTTGTCTTTATAACTTTTGTTACTTTACAAAAATCATTTTGAAGTGTTATCAAAATCCTTTTTGGTAAATACTTCTGTCTCCGGAAGTATTTTAACGCTTGCTACCTGCACAGTTTCAATGTGTTCGTTCTACTTCATTGTTCTAATTTTTAAGGAAAACGTTGACTAGCTTTGGAGAATAGGCTCCTCCAGTAGTGGGACTGGGCTTACTACTAAAATGCAAAAGTGAGAACTTGGAGTCTTAATGGGTGACTAAGTAAAAATGTTTGCCCACAGAAGCAAGTAGACTGTTAGAAAGAATTGTTAGGAATAGACTGAAGTAAGATAGAAAGAATCATTGTAGGATTATAGGATTATATAAATCACATCCAATATTTGTGGTGAATAGCCTGTGCAGTTCAGGCCCCTTCTTTTCTAGTGATTTGTAATAGCAGTGTCAAAGGTAAGAAAAGGAATATAAGCATGAGTGAAACTATGAGATGGCTTATGTACAAGAAACATTTGAGCAGATCAGGACATTTGAGTATAATAATTTGTAACATTTTTGGTAGCATAACATCCTGCCACATTATACAGTACAGTTATAAACTGATTGATTGCAAGCTTAAAACAGATAAAAGAAGATAGTACTTCAATGCTTGATTAACTTGTAATCATCTGTGATGCAGGGAATTGCAGACTCTTATAGTATATGCAAGGTAAGTAGACATTTCTTGAATTTCAGTTTTTCAGTGAATGAAAAAGAAATTCCCTCACAGCTATTAAATGCAAAGTCAGTACTTTCAGTTAAGAAAAATGCAATTGCAAATCTCTGTAATATCAGTGTTGGAGAAATACCACAGTGTTTACCTTGGTGCTGCATTCCTCTGCAGATATGGCCCCTTATAAGATTCAGGGTGTGGGTTCAGTGGATTTTTTTTGTGTGATCTAGTGTGGTAGCTGTTCTTACGTGCTCAACAGGTCCTGTATGAGCAATGGACAGAGGTCCAACTTCAGTTTGCCTTACAGCCAGAACTAGAAATCATGTCTATAGGGCATGATGTTACATGCGCTTTTGTTCTGATGGTAAATTATTATGTAGTAGAAAAGTTTATTTTGTAGAAATTTCTGTTCAAAAAGGTTCATTCAATATATAGGCATTGGACCAACATTAGGTATTGTGTATGGTACATTTGCTTTCTGGCCATGTATCACAGCATAGTTTCTTCCACTTCCCAGCATTGCTGTCATACATCACTTCTGCAAAGTTTTGATTTTTCGGTCTCTCCTGTATTAAGATTTTTTTTTTTTTTTGCAGGAGCTTGCTAAGTGGGATCTGAATACCTCAGATGAAGGGCAAATAGGATTTTATTAATTGCTGTGTTTACTGTACTGCACTGTACTGTACTGTATGTGTGTATTTTGATAAGGTTTTTCTGATACCAAACCAAGAGCAAAGTCTGGCATTTAGTTAATAAACAAATTCTGCTTTTGAGAAGTTGCTGAACTGTTCTCTAACTGACAAAAACAAGTATTTTTCTTTGGGGCCTAGGGGAGGAAATTTAAGCTGGTAGCACCATGTAATACTGTGGATGTTAAGGAGATCCTCAAGAAAGCAGTGAAAAAGCACTCTGATGCAGTAATTGCTATTGTAGCTTTGACATTTGAATGAAGAAGTAATTTTTCATTGCACAGAGTTTTGTTCAGTAAATCTTCATAATTACTGAACTTTGTAAAGAAAAAGTCCCATAAAGCTGGATAGCTAGGTTCAAAAGGAAAAACCCAAAATCTGGTCTGCTGAATGGAATACTGTTTGTTTGTCTTTATACAGTAGCTTAAAACTTGAAAGTTTCAATTTGACCTTAATGTTTTGTTACTCTTTACCAAGTGAGATCATACTTTAATTTCTCTTATTCTGGGCCACATTGGAATCACAGTTTGGTCGGTTGGTATTTGATCGATTTTTAATATAGTTTTTTTTATGTGATGAGTAAATCAGTTGGACTGTGCAAACCAGAATAGCCACATGAAAATCAGATTGCCCATGGAGGCTGTGGATGCCCCAACCCCTGCAGCGTTCAAGGGCAGGTTGGATGGGGCTCTGAGCAACCTGGTCTAGGAGGAGATGTCCCTGCCTATGCCATAGCAGGAGGTGTTGGGATTATATTTACGGTCCCTTGTAACCCTTTAACATTTGATGAGTCTAGAGAAAAATCAGAAGCACATAGCCTGTAACTGCAGAAAGGTATCTTCATTTACTCACTGTCAGACACACTTAGCCTGTGAGTGGGAGACATAATCCTTGTCTCTCAAATATATTGTGAACATGTGCATAGGTGTAGTCATGGAATGTACATTAAAGGTAATTTATCATGTGGTAAATGTGAGGCCCTCAATGTTTTTAAAATAGAAGAAAAAAAGCTTTAGTTTCATGTACAAAACCTAGGAAATTTTATTGGTGAATTACTGGCATTTCCCATGTGAAATGATTTTAACAAAACTGATTAAATAGGAATATATGGAAGATGCTCTTCAAAGGCTGGTGTTAATGTCCCCTCTGGACAGATTTTATTTTAGATAAGGACAAGTTTTTATACTGTTTTATTTTAAATGCAGGTGAACCAAGGAAATTTGACCCAAAGTTCAGAGGACCTATTCATAACAGGTAAATATCATAACTCATTTTGTTAAATTCTTTTGGTGAACAGGGGTTAAAAATTTGTGTTAGCAAAATTTGGAAATTCTGCAAGTCTTCTAAATCCAGTTTAGCACCCTTGAGGATGGATGATTATTGGGGAATATTAAGCTGTGTTCTCCTAAGTCCTTTTAGTTTGAATGTCAATTCTGTGTGCCTTGCATTGACTAGTATCTGCTGTCTAACGTGTAGGAGTTCTGATACACCTCTTTATGACAGAGCCTCCTCCCAGAACAATCTGGCTTGACTTCACTTAGTTTTATGAAATGCAAATGAAAGCATGTTGCCTCTTAGAAGGTTCATTAGTTTACAGACTGAAATTTCTCAGAAAGCATCCAAGGAAATCATAAAATCATTACGGCTGAAAAATACCACCAAGATCATCAAGTCCAACTTTTAATTATGGGCAACTTTTCAGTGTTTTTCTAGATGTAGAGAGCCAACTTCTAAACTAGCATTTACTGTCCTTACTGAGAAAAATAAATTAGAGGACCACAAGTTATTTCAGATTTATCGTTCTCAGGAGAAAATTCATGAGAGAGAAGAACACTGCAGATTTGCGGTGTTTGTACTATCATTTGAACACACACACTGTTCTTGTCTATGCAGAACGTATTTCTTCCTTTCTGAAAGCTAATAATTTTAGAAACTGGTAGGAATACTTGTTTAGGGAGTTTGTCCTAATTTGTGAAGTATCTTTTTGATACTGCCAGTGTGTCAAGCCAAGCTTGAGTGGTGTCAGAACTGAATGGAGACGGGGAAAATGAGCATTGATATAGCATTGCTTTTTCAATTTTGATCAGTTGTCCTGTCTTAAGTTACTGTCATATTGATACTGGATCCTGTACCACCTCAGCCTCACTAAAAGTTTATTTCAGTGAGATGATAAAGATGTTCCTCTCTAGAGAATTATCTACACTTGGAAACACATTTCAAGTTCTCCAGCTGTTCAAAAAAATCTGCTCTCTTTATCTCTTTTACATTAGAAATGTTTCTCTGTACGAGGAAACATAGATTGGAAAAAAGAAAGAATGGCAGGTGCTAAAAATGAATTCTGAGGCAGATGTCGTATAGTATGTCTTGCCACTTATATGATCAGTTGTATGATTAAGTGATAGCATGGGTTCAGTGTTGTAAGGTATTACTTGTTTCAACAACATTTAAATATGTTTCTCAATATGTTCTCATTGTCTAGAGTGAAAAAAGCATACACATTTATTTGCTGGTCTTGCTGCAAAAACAGGACCTTACACCTCAAACGTGAGTTTGTGACTAAAAGTTCTGCAAAGTACTGGTGCAGATATCTTATTTGGATGTTAAAATACCTTATGACAACCAGTGGTTTTGAAGGGTTATATTAAACACCTTGTTTTTTAAAAGTGTTTCTTCTTGCCCCTACCTATAGGCACTGCACAGACATTATTTGCTGTGTGATCTTCATAGTTGTCATTCTGGGTTACATTGCATTAGGAGTTGTGGGTAAGTAAATAGAGGTATAGTATACTTTTTCATAAAGAGGGGAAGCAGCTTTGTGAATGTTAGAATTTTTAATTGAAATGTCCCTTTTGCTTATATTTGTGCAAAGCTTTCCAATCGATAAAGTAATGCCTTTTGTAGAAGCAAATAATGAATTAACATTCAGTATCTATTGTAATTCACAGAATGACAGGCTGGGTAAGGCTGGAAGGGACCGCAGTGGGTGATCTGGTCCAACATCCTTACTCAGAAGGGTCATCCCAGAGCATATGGCACAGGATTGCGTCGATGGTTCTGGAATATCCCCTGTGAGGGCAAACTCCACACCCTCTCTGGGCAATCTGTTCAAGTGTGTAATCACTGCACAGGGAAGAAGTTTTTCCTCTTGTTAAGGTGGAACTTCCTGAGTTCAGTCCCTGCCCGTTACACTGGTGCCAGTGCTGGGCCCCCAGAGCAGAGCCTGGTTCATGCTCTGCCCCATCCCTGCAGACAGGGACAGCCAGGGACAGAGACACAGACAGGGACATCCAGGGACAGAGGGACATCCAGGGACAGAGGGACAGCCAGGGACAGCCAGGGCTGAGGCCCCTCTCAGCTGGGGCTCCTCTCCAGGCTGAGCAGCCCCAGCTCCCTCAGCCTCTCCTGGGCACGGAGATGCTCCAGGCCCTTCCTCAGCTCAGGAGCTCCTGTCCGAGCTCCTGTCCCTGCTGTGCTGAGGATCCAGAGCTGGACACACACTCCAGAGGTGCCTCCAGGGCTGGGCACAAGGGCAGGATCCCTCCTGACCGGCTGGAAATGCTCTTCCCGAGGAACCCCAGGATCCCATTGGTCTCTTGGCCCCCAGGACAAACTGCTGGCTCAGGAACAGCTTGTTGTCCCCAGAGAGCTGCTTTTTGCAGGTAATTAGAGAGAAGTTCAAAGCCATGTGTTTACTGATATAAAAAAACCTCAAAATTAAGTGTGCTCAAAAAAATGACAGAGTTTGAAAAGTTTGCAATCAAAAAGTAACTGTGATGGAAAATTTCAGGCAGCAGAAGCTAGAGAAAAACAATTTGGATTGAGAGCAGCCCTGAGGAGAAGGAATTGGCAATGCTGACTGATGAGGTTTGGGCATGAGCCAGCCATATACACTTGCAGCCCAGAAAGCCAAATGTATCCTGGGCTGTTTTGAAAGAAGTGTAGTCAGCAGGTGGAAGGAGGGGGTTCTGCCCCTCTGCTCCACTCTTGTCAGACCCCGTCTGCACTCCTGCATCCAGCTCTGGGGCCCCCAGCACAAGAAGGACATTGACATGTTGGAGCAAATCCAGAGAAGTGTTCTGAGGACTGGAGCACCTACTATAGAGGCAGGTTGACAAGTTGGGGTTGTTCGGTGTGGAGAAGAGTGCACTCTGGGAAGACCTTAGAGCCCCTTCTAGTGCCTAAATGGTCTCCAAGAGAGCTGGAGAGGGACTTTCACAAGGACATGGAGTGACAGGACAAGGGGAAATGGCTTCTAAACTGACAGAGGGCAGAGTTAGGTTGGAGATTAGGAAGAATTTCTTCCCTGTGAGGGTGGTGAGGCCCTGGAACAGGGCCTTTGCCCAGAGAAGTTGTGGCTGCTCCATCCCTGGCAGTGTTCAAGGGCGGGCTGGAGGGGTGCTTGAAGCATTGGATTGCTTTTTTTGCAGATTAATCCATATCTAGTACGGCTTACTGTGCTTTGCATTTTAGTTTTTCATTAGGAAGTCTACTAATCAGTACTCTCCAGTGTTGATCAACACAGTACTAAAGTGATTCATTTTCATGCTAACTAGTTTTAATCATTAACTGTGAACATTTGACTGAAACCTTAAGAGATATTGTATATTTTGCAGCTTGGGTGCATGGGGACCCCAGGAAAGTGATTTATCCAACTGACAGCTATGGACAGTTCTGTGGTCAGAGAGATACCCTCAATGAGTGAGTACTAAATCCATTCACATACCTTTATTACTTGTGCAGTGTGAATAAGATGTGGTTTCAAATCTCTCTGTTGAAGAGACAGTGACACTCTGACAGTATTTATTCCAAATAAAACACAGAAATATATTAGTTTCCCAGTGCAAATCCAGATGCAAATTATTACTGTAATGCAGTTGTTTGTGTCATTTAGAGAATATTTTTTTGTAAGGTATCAATATAAATTAAAGATTGTGTCAGCAGTTAAATAGAAAGTGACTACCTGGCAAAGCTTCTAACTGCCAAAGTTTGGCAGGGTAATTCATAACCCATTGAGTAATTCTTCATCCACCTTGGGATAAGAGTAGTCTTAAGACATTGTAGCCTGGTCTATAGTTTTTCTCAGCCTGCACCAAATAACAGAAAGGTCTGTAGTGAAAGGCTCTTGTTTTTTTTCTGGTGCTTATCCACTGCTGGTAGATAGGAGACTGAGTAGTGTTGGAGACAGGCAACCTTAACCACATCTTCCTTGGATAAACAGGAGGTAAATAGAGCCAAATGGCTCTATTTACTTATCTCTGTTTTTCAGTCATTTTAGATTTTGAATTGTAAGAGTTAAATTAATTGGTTGATAACAACAGAGTACTTACACATGAAAATAACTGCTCAGGGAAGAAAGATGTTGCATCAATATTTTCTCTGAAAATCTAAGAGGTTTATGAAACAGAATTTTAAAAAAGATTTACCTTTTCACTCACCGTCGTCCTCCCTTCAAAAGATAAGTTTTAGGCACACTTTATGCCCTTGTTACTGTAAAGAAGCTGCTATGCTAGTACTTGGTAACAACTCTTTGCTGCTTCTTCCTTTCCTCATTTAGTTTTCTGTGGAAAAAAATAAGGAAACCACTGTCCAAAGGGCGGTTCAGAAGGGGTGGAGCAGGAGATAGAGACTGGAACAGAAGCAGAGCTAGGGCTATATATCCTCTCAAGTTTTTTTTTACAGGCAAAACAGGCTAGTGAAAGAAAACCTGTTCTACTCTCTTACTGTTTTTCACAGCAATTCTTGGAGAGTCAAACTTCCTGAAGAGCAAAAACAAGGAGAAAGAGTTGTAGTGGTGTGTGTTCCCTTTACCATACTCCTTCTCTGCTCCCCCCCTTGCTGCCAATTCGTCCTTGTCCCCTGTGTCGCCAGCAGGAAGTAGTGGACAAATGGCTTTGGGAGTCTCAGACACACAGCTTCAATATCCTGTATGATGTGGAGCCAGGTGTTTCTCTCTGATTCTTACCATTCACTCCCATTCCCTCTTTGTTACTTGATCTTTTGCTTTAGTTATTTCTTACACAATGGTTTTCAGTTTGTATTTACAAATGTCTCTCCCTATTAGGATTACTAATCCCTAGGATTACTGGAGAATATAACAGCTACTGAGACTGCATTTTGGCATTCATTTGGTACATTGAGGAGATTCTTATAAAAATGTAAATCAGAAGACACATAATACAGCCAACTGGAAAATGAAGAGTGTTTACGGCAGTAGGCCAGGACACCCCTCTGAATGAGTCCCTCTAGTTCCTGGGGCGGGGCTGTGGATGCGCTTGTGAGGCTTTTGTCAATACCATTGTTTTTCAGATTCCCTGAAAGTAAGCATTGTGAAAGACTAACTCAAAGCTGTGGTTTTCCAAAGTCTTCAAGGGTTTAATCTGAGACATTTTTCTTGGAAAGTAATCAGTCTTCATGTTTTGAATCTTGTCCTTGTAACAAGTATTTTCAGCAATCTCACTGAGGAGTAGAAAAGACAAGTTACAAACAAAGCCAACGCTCACAGCTTGTGCAAAAACCTGTTTGAACTCCAGTGAATGCTGTGCAGTCAAATAAATTCTTTTTGTATCATAATGAAAGTCTCTGTTAAACTTCTTCATGTCTTCTTGTTATCTGTCCATTAATTGCCATTTAATCTCTGAACTTGTTGTGCCTTCTACAGCGCATTGTGTATTAATGGAATACAACACAGTTTCATTATACAGAATACAGACCTAATTCTGAATGGGTGTGTGGCTGTTTTCATGTGCTATGTATATGTTTAAACTTTATTTTCTGCTTTCAATACCAGCAAGTGGGCTAAAAGTAAAATAAAAATTAAAAAAAAAAAAAATTCATGAATAGTTTTGAGCAGCTCACAGATCATAAATAATCCCTCCAAGAAACTATTGAAGAACGATGACATTTCAGTCCAAAATTGTATTCTGCTAATTTGAAGAAATAGCAACTCATGGTGGTGAATTAGTTTTGCCAGGATGCATCTTTTCTTAAACAGTGCATAACAGAATATACCTCAGTGAAAACAAGTTAACCTTGTTGAGTTAACCCCAGTTTTAACTGGAGCTTGACTATGCAGTGGTACTATATAATGGCTTCGAAGGCATAGCCCTATTCAGCAATTGGTGGGAGTCATGTGCTGGTGGGAGAGCAGAGGATATATGTCCCAAACTTGGGGATACAATGAGATGTAGAAGCAGGACTAGTGTTGAAGCAGGACACATAGAGGAGGGACAGCCTTGTTAGCCCAAGCACCCTTGATTGTTAATACTGCCATGCTGCTCACAAGACAGAGCTCCCATTGTGCTGCATTGCCATGTGGAAGGTCAGTGGGGGTTCAGACACTTCTTTGTGGGGTCTTTTGCACATCACAGAAGCATAGAATAGCCTGACTTGGAAGGGACCTTAAAGCTCATCTCATTCCAACCCTTGTTCCATGGCCAGGGACACATTCCATTAGACCAGGTTGCCCTGTTCAACCTGGCCTTGAGCACTTCCAGGGATGGGGCAGCCACAGCTGCTCTGGACAACCTGTGCCAGGGCCTCACCACCCTCACAACAATTTCCAATATCCGATCTAAACCTACTCTCTATTAGTGGGAAGCCATTCCCCATTGTCCTATCATTCCAGGCCCTTGTAAATGGCCTCTCCATATTTTTTGTAGGCTCCCTTCAGGTACTGGAAAGCTACAGTTAGGACACCCCTGAAGCTTTCTCTTCTCCAGGCTGAACAATCCCACTTCTCTCAGCCATTCCTCGTGGGAGAGGTGCTCCATCTCTCTGATTAACTTGGTGGACTTTCATAGTCCATAGAGGGGCATATGCACCATTTCTTCCAGGAGTAATGCATAACCCTGGCTAGCTGGCTTTGAAGTCTTGTTTCAAAAGGGCAGGTCTATTGCCATATTATCTTCACTAGAGCTATCTGATAATTTTCGGACATAGTGAAGACTAACAGCACATTTTGCTGTCTTCAAAACCCAAGTCTTTAAATCAAGAGATCTTGGGATCTTCAGTTTCCAGTAAATTCAGACTTAAGTAATGGCTACCACAAGGCTCCAAGTTCTGGTAGATGTGGGACTGACAGACTGATCCTTATTTATATCAAGGGGGATCTTGTCAGTGTCATTAGTAGATGATATTATATTCTGCTTTCTGGACAACTGCTTCTGGTTTCAAACCATAAAAAGCTTCTGATTGATTTTGGTGCCACCTTCTGATCAACAACAATTAGGCAGCTTTTACAGTGAAGCATTTGCTGATAGTGAGTTTGCATGCAGTGCATACACAGGATGTAGGTGGCACAGAGACTATGGTGTTTTTTGCAGGGTTATTTTACAAACCTCACCCTCTCGAGGCAGGACTACAGATACATGGATTGTTTCAGCTTAAAATCTTGCTGCGGAGAATAGCTTGTCAAAATTAGCATTATTTAGAACGAATACTTGTGGTTTCATAGATGTGAAACATTCAAGGTCTACTTGGATTTTTTTTTTTGTCTTGAGTTTGCAATATGGATGTTCACAGTAACTGAATTTAAATATCAGTCTATGCTACAAATTTTGAAATGGTAGGATGTATAAGCACCTACATTTATGATGATGATTATCTTATATCCATTTCCATAGGAACAAGACCATTTTGTTTTACTTCAATATTCTGAAATGTGCCAGCCCCGTAGTGTTAATAAACCTACAGTGCCCTACAACACAGGTGAGTGTAAATGTGGAGGTAAAATATTTTCCCTGCATCTTAGTCAAGGTGCTTAAAAATGAGATGTGTATTTGTTTAGATTTAAAAATTGTTGTTCATGTCCTTCAAAATACAGCACGACTGTTTTATAAATGACATGTAGCACACACTCTCTGTAGCATGTGGTGGTCAGAAAAATGAAATGGAAATGCACAAGATCATGTATTTTGTGTAAGAGTAGACAAAAAAACGTCTGCTGACTTGAATACAGCAATTTGTTACTTATGAATTCATCACAGGCAACTATCCAGTAATATTCAGTGCATGCAGAAAATATTGATTTATATCTAAGGTTTTCAAAGCTAGACATGTTCAAGGTACTTCATATCGCCAGTGACAGGAGTATCTGGGTGTGCTTAGACCCTATGGCTCTTTCAAAAGTGAAGATTGTGAAAGCTTGTTCTTGCCTTATGCCACAATTTGTACTCTGTTTGTTGTGCTGTGACTCCTCATGAAGTTGTGAAATAAACCAAATCACTGCATTTGTGTGGGTTAAGATTAATCTCCTGATCTTTCTTACAGGACCATTTTCCTGACCATAAAACTTGAAAATCTCTAACAAGAAAGAGCAAGAACCCTCTTAACACTGGCTAGTTGCTGTCAGAAATAAAACATGCTCCATCAGCTGCAAATCTGCTTCAGGAATCCACATCTGTCCACATGCAGACACTGACACTGTTACCCTGCTGACTTTAGACTCTTTTACTAGAACAGTTCAGTCTGTCAGAAATACGAGGTCATTGTGTGGGATTTGACTGGTGCTGTGGTCAAGTTGGCAATGGCCATGAATCAAATAGGGTGAAGTACTTGTTGAAGGAGAGTTTTTGGAAGCAGAGCAGTTACTTTGTTCATTTTCAAATAATGCAACAACTCCAAAACTAAGAATGCTGTTTTTGATGCTGTTTGTTACTGCAGATGGGTAAATTACTGGTCTTTTTGGAAATTGCTGAAGAAATTTTTTTTTGATCATTCCTCTTTTGAACAGCAAACAGTGTCTTCATTCCTGACCTATACATCTAAATGTCCATACATACAAATATACATAGCAGGCGAAAAAAACCCCAAGAACTAACATGAGAAGATCTTCAGTTCTTGAATAAGACTGGATTGGAAAGCTGTTATTACAGCCCATGGGATCCATAGACAGCACATTTCACTGCCAGTTTCATAGATGGCAAACAGTTTATAGCAAAGTATGTACTTGTTAGTCACCTGTTGCCCCAGCAAGGACAGAACTCTTCTTTCTTTGTTCCTTGGCCTGTTGGTAGTCTGTAGGACTAAAATGCTCATCTAGAAGGACACTCTTGCAGCATCTGCCCGGTTCTAAGGATTACTACAAGACCTCTTCCCAAAATTCTTTTAATTTAATTACTTACAACGGAATGCCTTTTACATGAAAGACGTTTTTTTGTGGATGATGTCTGTCTCATACTTGGACAGCAGAGTTTTGCAAAGGGTGTTTGGATAGCACAGCTTTGGAAACAAACTGCCTTCTAGAAAAGGTTGAAACTTGCTGTTAAGATGGAATTCAAACCACCTCACAGTCTTAACACTGAGGACTCAGAATGTCTGTCCACTTGTGTGATTCCAGGAACAAGCAGAACCTTCAGAATCTGTTTATCAGGGCAACCACTTATCTAAATCACAGCTTCTCAGTGGATGCATTTAATAAACCCCAGTCCTCACCTGTTTTCTCCCATTAATCCAGTTTATAATGGCTGTACTTTGAGTCATGTGAACTTCATTCTTGACATGAGCATCCCCATTCTTTGTAACTAGGGGAGATCCATTCTTAGTCCATACTCAAAACTCACTTTTGAGTGATTTACGCCTAACTTGGCAATATTTGTACAGATGTAATTGGCTGAAGAGGTTGTGTAGAAGGGTGGAACAGCATTCCCTGAGACTTTTGATTTTAGTGAGGCTTTCTTTAAATAAAGTTCTCCTTCTACACATAACAGAAAGAAATTGCATGTGTCCTGTGAAAGTAGCTGTCACACCACCTTGCTCATATATACTGCTGCTGATAGATGTAGATGAGGAGCACCTGACAGGTTTTTTGCTTGCTGTCCAAAAAAATAAATAATACCCTTTTCAACAGACTGGAAGCTCTTCTTACCTATCAGAATGTGTAGAACCTAAGAAGATACAGAGAGGGGCTTGATATACCAGATACGAGGAGAACACACTTTGAAAGTGTTTTCTATCAAAGAATTCTCTATTCATTTAGGGAATCTGAAGGACAACATGTCCTTTCTAAAACCTGCAGTAAACATTACTGAAGGCAGTGGCATTTTTCTTGCTTTTTCATTGCACCCACTTTCCTTACCCTTCTCTACCCAGAGTGTATCTTTACTTACGTTTTTCTTTTCTTTCAGCTTTGTGTCTCAAAGTGCCCAGACAGGTTTGCAACCTACATTGATGTTCAGGCTTCCTACAGATATAGACCAGATCAGTGGAATTACTTCAGGCAGTTCTGCAAACCTGGTTTTAACAATCCTCGCAAGGTGTGTATGTATCTATAGATGATAAAGTACGTTTGTTCTTCAAGCAGTATGTAATATGCATCAAAGATTTTGAGCTGCATCAAAGATTTGATTTACTCTGATTTCAGCATATAAGATGTCCCATTTATGTGATTTGACAGTTGTTTAATCCAGGCTGAAGGTCTTGAATGCACACTAAATCCCCCACTCTTGAAATGATTGCTGTTTGCTTAAAGGACTACCTGCAGCTACCCATGTAGGTGCAATACTGTGGCAAGCAGTATCCTTTAGTACTTAGGTACCCCACAGCAGTAGAGTGGAGTGTCTCAAACCAGTTCTTAAGGGTCCTAAGTCATCTATAGCTGCTTGAAAAGTTAGCTAAGAAAATTAATCTATCCTTCATGTAACTGAATTTGTACTCAAATGTACTGCATTACTTCTCCCATCTTTAAAACATCTTGCAATTTAGCTATATTAATTGGAATAAATTCTTACTTTTCTTTAAGAGGAAGGGGAGGCAAGGAACAATTGCCTAGTCAGTTCTGGTTTAGATACTGATCCAAAGGTCTTTTCTTTTATGTCACTAGAAAAGAAAAGAGTAGTCTTTTCCCAAGTCATGATGTCAGCTTGGATTCTCACTTAGATATGTATCTTGCAGCTCCACTAATGAAATTTGGGAAGGAGGCTACAAAGCCCAGTTTGGGGCATTCCCTCAGAATGGGTGAGAAACAAACAACACTAGTTACACTGCTATGTATTCAGCGTTCCTATTTTTCCCCTTTTTAGTCCGTTGCTCAAGTCCTACGTGATGAAGATTGTCCTTCGATGATCATTCCAAGCAGGCCTTGTGAGTGGTTCTACTTCTTATACACATCTTAGCAGATTTGTGAGTGTTCATATTAAAGAACAACTACAGCCTGAAATGTGTTTTGAGGCAATATCACTAGGAGCTTTCTGTTACGTGACATTGACATCCATTCAGTTTTAAAGTATAAATCAATTAAATTTGAAAATATAAATATTTATTAATATTTTTTCTAACAGTCATCTGGGAACATTTAGCATGTGATCAAGTCATGCTGAATTCTTTCTTGCTCTAGAATCATCAGTGATAGCAAAAGCTCTTTAACTCAAGTCGTGCCTTCCAAAACAAGAGCAAGCAACACCATTGGCATAAAGAAAATGCTGTGAATGTTGGAAGGATCATATGGCCAGCTGTTGAAGTTCAAATGATACTTCAGCCCAGTTACAATGCAGCTTTCTTTTCAGTGCAATGATGGCTACACAGGGCATACAGAGGAATTAAGGGGCAAAAAATGTCACTATGGTCAACAAGTGTTTCTGAGTAGATAACCACTGATTTCAGAGCTTGTCTCAGCTGCATAAATGTCGAACTGACCAAGAATCTTATGGAAATAAGAAATTGCTGTTTATTTTTGCCATACTTTAAAGTAAGGATCATGTAAACCAGGAACATGTCATTAAAATATAGATTAAATTTTCAAAACATAGTATGAATTTGTATTAAAACTGAAGTACTGACTCAAAAGACATGAAATAATTTACAAAGAAGCTCTTATATTCTTTTAGACTACATCAAGGGGCAAAGATTGCACAGGGAGGAAAAGATACATTAAGATTTGTTCCTTAATCATTTAGTCAGAATGATTGCTGGGGGAGATGCACCAGACTGAATACTGAGCCCTGGCATTGGTATTTGTTGGAATCTGGTAAGGAAAGAACTGAATGGTTATATGAAGTACAGCTCTGAAGGAGGACTTAGCTGCTCTTCTCCTTGGAATGAAACCAAGGATGGTTTGCAGTGAAGAACAGGGCAGTGTAAATGAGTATGCAAACATCTTTTCTCTCTTCTTTGTAATCTCATCTTCCCTCTCTCTAGCCAGTTGTTTCCGTCTTTTTTTCCATTGCTTCATCTCCAAGAATATCTAGTGGTAGTGGCTGATACTGGAACTCATCTGGCATATAAGGAAACTGACACTTGCTGTTATATATTGTTTTGGGGGCTAATATGATTCATGACCAGTCAAGTTGAATCTGTTCCTGGGGGCTGGTCTGATTATTACCTTCAAATGGCGTATTTGAGAAGCTGCAGTTTTTTTAATCTGCCCAGATACTGACAGAGAGTAAGTTCCACATTTATTACAAATTCTTAAACTCCTATGTATAGTACTGTTTTTACTTGGTAGGACCTAGAATCTCCAGTTGAAATCTATGATCCCACCCTGCCTGAGCATAGATAAAAAGCCCCAGAGCATAGAAATCATAATCTTGAATGTAATGGCTCTTCCAAGATTTGTCAAAGTCAACATATTATTAGATAATCAGTTGAAAAACAATTGACTGTGAATCTGAAATTATTTAAATATATTACAAAACACACATGATAAAAGCGGAGCTTGACATGAAATGTAATATGCAGGCTTTGTTTTGATATTTTGAATAGTTCTGAAGAGATGCTTCCCAGATTTCTCCACGAAGAATGGTGTGTTGACCGTGGCAAATCAGACTACATTCAAAGATGGAAGAGGGAAAACAAGAAATGTAACTGATCTCAGGGAAGCTGCAAAGTAGGTTTTACATTTCTTCAGTGTTTGTTGGATTCTGAGATTGTGCAATAATTTAGTAATGGAAAAAAAAATCAGACTCCGTCATAGCAAATGACTGAGGGTACCCAAGCAAGACTTGGTATTAAATAGTCTCTCTGTGCCTGAGAATTTCCAAAGTTACATTAAGGAAATCCAGCACTGTTCTGTGCAGAAAGGAGCAAAAAGTACTAAAACGAAAAGTTTTAGTCCAATGGTATCAGTCATTTTTTGAAATCATTCTTGTTTTTCCTAGCAAAAATAAGTTTTGTGAGGAAAGTTAAATGAGGTTCAAAATGCAGTCCTCATGCTGCAGGACTCAGGCCAGCCAGTAATGGCCTTGGCTATCCTGTTCTGTGATGACCTTTCTGCTACCATGGACTGGCCTAGTACTTTGGGTATGTCACCTCATCAGAGTGCTCCTGCTTCTGGTAAAAAGTAATGCATTGGGCTGTTCTTCAGAAAACAGTTATATGGGCAAGCATTCTGCAGGATAGAAAAACAGTTCCATGAAGTTGTTCCATTGACTAGTTTCTTGGTTCTGTGCTATTTGCAGTTCTAGAGTCACAGCTGTTTGTGTCCTGGTACATTGCAAATATTGATGCTATACACTTGTCTTGTGACATAATAAGCAATTCTGACAATAAAGCCTTTTTAATAAATTATTTTTCAGGACTTGTAGAGACATTCTTACACAGTTTTTTTCTTTGCTGTGATTGATGTTTGCTTGGTGACAGAACTGGGGCTGAAAAATTGTAATATACTCTTATCACTGCCAAAGATATTTCAAATTCTTTCACTGATCCTGCTTGTTGTTTAAATAAATTCTCACTTTCTACCTAAGGCAATCTTTTCTTTGATTTTTGTTTTCTCAGTGGCATCAATAATGTCCTGGATGCAAGATCAGTTGGAATGAAAATTTTTGAAGACTATGCCATTTCTTGGTATTGGATTTTAATGTAAGGGTTTTTGTTGGTATTTTAGCATTTCCAAACTCATTCTGGAGTGTGCAGGGTATAGAAAAATAGATCATGTATGCATTTAGTCCAAATCCTACTTTAAAACTCAAGGAGCAACTGTAATTTCCATTCATCACACGTGATAATAAGATTGTTATGGTTCTGTGTGTGAAGTAAGGATAGTACAGCATACATACATGGAGTGTCAGTTGATCTGGAATAGCTTTTTAATGTTCTGCCAGACAGAAAATCAAGAGGTGCAGTGTTCTGTTGCAGCACCCATGCGTGTGGCAACTCCAAAACTGAAAAATCTTAATTAAGTGACTTTCAAGCCAGTTGCAGTTGCCAAGTGTCGCTAGCATATATATAAAACAGATAGTTTCAAAATTCATGCAAGCAATATACAGTTACATCCATTATAATATTCAATTTCAACATAAATGCATAAATCCAATGCAGCAGGCAAAGCAACATCAAGAATAAAAATTATTGAGGAGTATTAACTTTATCTTGCAATTAATATTAGTTAATCACCAATTAATTAAAATGCAGCACTGAAACAAGAGAAGAAGCTACTTTGCTAAAGCAAATATGTCAGTATTTGTGAATTCCTAGCCCATTGATATTGGTTCTGATGGACCAGTGTGTTGATCTATTTAATCAAGAACAGAACTTGTCACCAGGTGAGAACCTATAACATGCACATGTTAAGCATACATTAGTCAATCCTGAATGCAAATCCATAACAATTAATACATACTTTAGATAATAATATGGTGATTTAGTCAGTTCAGAAACATGAGTTGTCAACTTTTAAAGGTCAGTCACTGGTGGAAAGACAGCTTTCTCATAGTTTGATTCTCAGCTCACAATATTTGGTAGCAGGAAACTAACATATATTCAGCAAGCTTGGGTCTCTCTATCTCTTAATGAAATCAGGCTAATGGTACAGATTCTTTCAAAGGAGATATGACTCAACACACTGGACAGAGACAGACCATTTTTTTGAACAGAAATTCTAAATCTTGAAACAGGTTTCCACATTTTGAATGTGGTATTTTTACTTTTTTTTTGTAAGGAAGTGTTGCCACTTTAAGGTAGTTTGATAGGTAATTTTCTTTACACTTTTCACCCAGTGCTAGCATAGATCAAATGCATACATCAAATGTTGGGTGATGACAGTGCAAGGGAGGCTGGATTAAAATTTAAATACAGAACCGCTGTAATCTTTTTAGCATACCCCAAAAGAACACTGCTTCAAGGCTCAATTTAAGGGAACTACTCCGTTGAAAACAGTTGCTACTATGTACTCAGTTTTGGTGTTACTAGGACTCATATATACTAAAGATAACTTTAGATAAGGGTAATTTACTGCTTTCATGATTGAACTCCAAAACGACAACTTTTCTTGAGGAATACATTCTGAATTTCAGTAAATCATTCAGAAAGCGAAAGTATATCAAGCTTGGAAGCCTTTAAAGGGGTAGGACTTAAGGCAAGCTTAGAAAGGTTTAACTAAATAAGCTGATGTGCTATTTTATGATCAGGCTACCCCATTTTTTAGCTTTGCTTATTGGCTAAATAAGCTGGGAACATTCAGAAGAAAAATTACTGAACACAGGTAAGAAGGGGGTTTAAATTTTTTTGAGTCTGTACTAATAAAAAATTCAGATGTAACACTTAATAAAAATGAGACATTAAATGTTCTTTGAAGCACCTGAGCTGGATATTTGTTTTATGGGATTAATATTCATATTGCTTTCTTCATAATTGTTTAGAAAGCTTTGTGGAGGAAAAAAGCCTTTTGCAATAACTTTCTCCTTTTGGACTTGCTTTCTAGGAGTGAAATGAAAATATTCTATGTAGCAGCAGCAGCAGGAGTAGTAGTATATTATTATTATTATTATTATTATTATTATTATTATTATTATTATTATTATTATACATCTTTCCTAGGCCCTGCATAGTAAGGCTTTTAACAGTTTCTTTCTATGCATCATAGTGCCGTGATCATTTCCTCTTCTGATTAGTAGAAGTGGTGATGAGTAGAAATTATGTCCTCCTAACCTCCTGATGTCTTTCCTCCTAAAATTAATTATTTTTTTTTCCTAGGAAGCTCCTAAAATGTTGTTTACTAACATTGTTTCTTTGCAAGCAGGGGTTTTCTGTGGAGGACATAAACCAGCAACTTCCCCACATATAGGTATTCCTCCAATTTAACTTTCTGTAGTGTAGATTTGACTGTGGCCTGAAAAAGGCAGTGAGTTTTTCAGCTGGTGTAAGTGACAAAAAAGGCATTATATTAATCCCATTCAACCAGCCTGAGAACACAGTGCACATAAACATTTCAGGCTCTGCCCTGTGAGATCATCATATATAAGCTCTTTGTAATCGCAGATAATGGCCATGAGAATGTATTTCATAAAAAAGATTTTGAAATACATTTTCACAAATCATGCTATTATGAGAGATGAAGTGACCGTCATTTGGAGTAGCAGGAATGCAAGTGAATAGATTCTCACACTCATTTTTCCTGTGTTTCTGTTTCTTGACTTTCTAGTGGGCTGTTCATTGCAATGATGCTGAGTCTGCTCTTCCTTGTGTTGTTGAGGTTCACAGCTGGGGTTCTCTTCTGGATTTTCATCTTTGGTGTGATTGGTATTATAGGTTATGGTAGGTGTAATTTTCTAGCCTCTGAGACTATTTTTTCTTACTGCTTAAATCTGGGGAAAGAAAATCAGTAGTTACTTCAATTAAATGGTACAGTTGGGTGAATTAGTGCTTAGTTTTTGACACAATTAAGTGAGAAGGACATAAATGCAGAAAAATGTAGTAAGAATTCAGCTGTGCTGATACTTAGCAGCTGATGTAGCAACCTGCATTACTTGTGCACAGTATGCTTAGTCTGTAATCACTTGTACTGGTATTTCTTTCCCATATATGTGATATCATAATTGGCTAGTCTCATAGTGATGCATTCTTGGGATTTGCTTACCTGACAGGCTTATACAAAAGCAAAACATTTGGCTTGTAAGATTTTTTTGAAATTTGTCTTTGCCCTCTTCAGACATGTTCCTGTTATATTGATTGTTTTTTAAAAGGCATCTGGCATTGTTACTGGGAGTATGATCATCTTAAAGGAATACCTGGATCTGACCTCACTGTTTATGATATTGGATTCCAGACAGACTTCAAAGTGTACCTGCAACTGAGGCAAACATGGTTAGCCTTTAGTAAGTGCCCTTTAAATTTGGTATCTGTTAATAGATATTCAGGAAAATCAGTCAATGTCTTGATACACTTTCTGCCTTGTTAAATCTCCTCCTCTACACATTGCTCAGAGAAGCAAGCAGAATTGCTTTTCTCTGTATTGTGTAAAAATGTGCTTTTTTCAAGGACACTAGTATATTTGTAAGGGGAGATAATGCAATCACACTAGTGATAAGAGTGGAAAAATCTTTTGTTATTAGCATTCTGCTTCCTGTGTGTTCAGTCTTCATCATGGGGAAAGCAGAAGGTGATAATTAAGTTCATCATGATGAAGTTGCATATGGAAGGGTACTTTTCTCTATCAGATATTTTTTTCTCCCTCTTTGAGAGCCCCAGAAATTAGATTAATAAGTCACATTAATAACTATACTTTTTTGTGTCTTAGAATCATAAAATATTCTGAGTTGGAAGGGGCTCATCAGGATTGTAAAGTCCAGCTCCTGGCCCTGCACAGGACACTCTAGCAATCCCACCCTGTGCCTGAGAGTATTGTCCAAATATTCCTTGAGCTCTGACAGCCTTGGGCCCATGACCACAGCCCTGGGGGAGCTGTTCAGTGCCCGACTCTGGGGGGAAGAACTTTTTCCTGGTCTCCCACCTAAATCCCCCTGACCCAGCTCTAGCTGTTCCCTTGAGTCCTGTCATTGGACATGAGAATGAAGAGATCACTACCTGCCCTTCTACTTGCCCTTGTGAGGATATTGAAGACCACAATGAGGTCTCCTTCAGTTTACACTTATGCCACTGAATTTTCTTGGAGTCTGATCTAAGGCTCTGGAACAAACCATATTAAATAAAATCCTCCTGGAACCTGCAGCATACACGTTCCTCCCCAAGAAAGCGGGGGCAGAAGAGAGAAGAAGTAACTGTGAAACACTACTTGCACTCCTGTTCCTGCTCTATTAGAAGACACACAGACTCTAACTGATGATGGATGGGTCATAGCCAAAAGCACTGCCTCTCCCTATTGGTAGCTAAATTAATAGAGCAATACCTTACTGCTTAAATCTCCTTTTTCTTCTTTGTGTCTTAATTTACTTCCATGTTGGATCACTGAGTTTATGAAGCATCTTCTACATATATTTTTGAGGCAGAACTTTTTAGTATGCTCTCCCTAGAGAATATTAGGACTTTATTATGCTTTATTATCAACTCTTCAAGCTTTTCTCCTGCCTGATTCTTAGCAGCCCATGTATAGTTTATCTAGAGTTTAGTGTCCCTTCCACAAGAATAAATTGAGGTACTCAGGAGTTAAATTGCTTTCCCAAAATCACCCAGCAATGTAGATAGTTACATGTCCTTGAAGAAAATAGTCAGAGTCCTAGTCGAGGACTTACCATGTACTGATATTACTTGCCTTTTTCACAATATTTCAGACAAATCTATTAATCTAACAGAGCCAAATTGGAATTAGACCAACTTTAAAGAAACCTGTTTATATATTCCTTCATGGGAAAATGGCATTGAAATGTATTTAACAAAAACTTCGTTCTGAACAAGTTCCATGGGTCTGAGCACCACAGCAGTCACTTGCCACCTGCAGTTCTGCTGCCGGGGGTAATACTTGGGATTGTAGTTCAACATCATCTGTGACTATTTGGTCTGATATGTCTTAACTGAGGGACCTAAAGTCAAATCTCATCTTCCTCTGCAAACCTTTGTATAAGTTTTGGGATACTTAAGGGTACTGTCCCTACTGTCTTCCTCTCCCTCCACAGAACTTCTTGGTTTCAGCTGGAGGGCACAGGTCCTGCTGCATACAGCAACCTGCCCCTGCTGGGCTGGTTGAAGTATTGTCTAACAATCTGAAGCACTAAAAATAAGTGGGTATGTCTCAGAGTCAGAGGATGTGTGCTTCAGGCATTAAAGGCTCAGTCCGCTCTAGGTGAAGTTCACAGAATTTTCTTATTTTCTACTGTAGAAGTAGGTTTTGAACCAACATAAATAGAAATCAGACAGAAGCAGACTCTACTGAAATCAGAGTTATGATTCAAATGTGGCTTATAACTAAGAGTTCTCAGCTCTCTAATATTAGAGCATGATTCCAGCAACACAACTGGAAGGTGAAAGTAATTTGTCCAGAATGGTCCTATCTTAGTCTCTTATTTTTATTTTTTTTAAACTCAAATTTGGTGAAAGGAGCTCATGCCAGGTTAATGCTCAAACAAACTTATTGATTTTAGTACATCTACATCTTAGAACAATGTAGATCAGAAAAATGCACTCTCCATGAAAAACTTGACTCCTATTATTAAACTCCTGTTTATTATTATCTAAACACTACAAATGAGCAACAGTATAGTATGAACAAATGCTTCTATTACGAGAAAAATTCTGTTTGTGGAAAGTAGAATTTGTAAAGGATGAACTGTATCTAAGGCTGGATACTGCACTCACATTGAAGTAAATTTTTATCTTTCTCTGAGAATTATGTGTTCCGTTTTTCTGTTAAAAGTACAAATATCAGGGTCATACACATTCTGACTAACTCTCTGCATACATAATTTTTTTTACAATGGGACTTAGAAACCTGTGAAATGGGATTGAAATTTGGCAGGTGCAGTTGGAGAAAGAACTGCTCAAGCAGAGAATTTACAGGGTTCAGGAACAATATTCAAACTACGAGGAAAAAATTACAGAGGCAGCATATTGTTTTGGTTCTTGATAAATTTAACTTCTTTATCTTTATTTGCTTTTTTACAGTGATAATACTTTGTGGTGTTGAGGTCATTATCATACTGATGCTGATCTTCCTAAGAAATAGGATCCGGATTGCTATTGCACTGTTGAAGGAAGGTAGTAGGTATGTTTGTTTGATTTTAATGTATGTTATACATAATATATGTTTTATATAGATAGAGATATGGATATGTTGAATGGTATTAAATGATCTCTAGAGTACACTCTTCCTGAACTCTATCTTGCGCTAGCAAGGGCAGCAAATTGGGGTTTAAAATGCAACACTGCATTTGTTGAGCCAAACAGATTCAACAAGGAGTTCAGGGGAGGCATTCAAGGAATGCCAGTTACCTTTTAATGAGATTGTGCTTAATAGAGCTTTCTCTTTTAAAGTATATTGATGTTACCACATATCCTTAGAGCAAAGAAGGTGTCTCAGCAGAAAAGCTAAGTATGGTATGCTGTTCGTAGGAGTCTGGGACCTAGAAGTGCCAGCTTTGCTCTGTCATTGGATTGTCCCTGGAGTTGTATACTAGTGGTAGAGGATTGGTGTTGTTTTGGCTGTGGCTTCTATTTAGGAAAGACTAGGAGTTTCCTCTGGCTCCAATCAAACTTCTGTGTGGACAGGCATAAATAAAAAAGGAGACTTCTGTGACCAGACATTTTAAGAGGGTGCAGTCTAAGATATTTCTTTTTAGCTCTGAGTAAAGAAGAAAGCAGAGCAGGATATGAGGGTTTAGGGCCTAAGAGACCCCTTCACTGTGTGTTTCCTGAAATCTGCATAGGCTTTGTTAACAGTGGTTCCTAGTTTACGCAGTGCAAACACTTAGTGTTTTTGTTGGTGGCTTATTTTTTTCTTTGGGGTGGGGGGGTAGGGGGTGTTGTTTGTTTGTTTGTTTTTGTTTTATTGTGGTTTTTTTATGGGAATATTACAAAGAATAAATGGACTTTAAACTGACTGACTTAAAACATCTGGCTTCATTTCAAAATAGGTTTCATTCCAAATAGGTTTCATTCCAAATAGGCTATGGTCTCATAGGCCCTGAATGCAAGGCTGTGTTCTCAGAGCACATAGAGTTAGCTCTGAGTTCATCTATATGCACTTGCTTGTGGTTTTCTGCTATCTCTGTTGCCACTGTGGTTCCTGGGAATTGGGATTTGGGATTTCATGGGATTAAGAAATGTCATGGGATTAAGAAATATAGAAGTTCTGCATTTAGCCAGGTATCTGTTTCCTGTCTTATGCTACTGTACAATTAGAGCATAGCAATTAATTTAGGCACCACTAAATTATACTCTTAAATTCTTGTTCATTAAAATCCAGGAACACTTTTAACATTCTTCAGAACCTTTGTTCACAACCTTGACAGGTAGAAGGTTTTTAGAAAGTTCATAAACTTCTTGCTGATGAGTAATAACATTCTATAGTTTTCCAGCAGCATGGAAGGGTCACTTGAAGGTGAAATTTTTTCTCTCCTGCATAATGGATGAGATGAAACAGTGTATGTAATTACTGTAAACTTAACAGGCCATGTCCTGTATTTAGAAAGATAAAAAGTAAGACGCTGATGATTGGAAATCACATTATGTTTTTCAATAGCTTTTAGCTACATTTTGAAAAATATTACAGTTGTAATGCCAATAATTTACTTGAAATCCATAGTTAGAAACAACAGTTGTTAATCAGTGTTTTGGAATAACAGCCAATGGTCTTAATGGTAACTAAGAGGCCATTAGCTGTACACAGCTAATTTGTTGTGATTGTTTCTCAGACAGCATAAGGCTCTGTCCTCCTGTGTGACTTGTAATGGACTCTTTTGTCTCTAGACTCAGACAATTGATGTTTTGCTTATAACTTCTGGATTGCACATAACAGTTTCCTTGCATTCGCCCCAGCATTTACTACTTTACCTTTAAAAATGGAGTAAAGTTTTCTCCTTTTGCATTTTGGAAACTACATCCTATTACACAAATAGCATCAGAAGTGCCCTATGTCACAGGAGAAATACTATCGGAAATAGTACTAGACAAAAAGGCATGTGATAAGGAGAGCCAACCCATAACAGCCTGCAGTGAACAAAGCACATGCTTTCTGAATTCACATCCAGTGAGATACCCAGCTGGCAGTGTTCACTTCTGGGACAGCAGCAGGTCTACCAAGAGGGCTGGTATCAACTCCCATTTACAGAGAACAAGCCCCTGGCAGGGTAGGAACTAGGATGCTCGAGTTCCTACTCACTAGTCACATTCTAGCCACAGGAATTAGCAGTAGAATATCAGTCTACGTATGCCTTGATATTAAAAGAACCTCTCTAAGCTGTCAGCAGGAAAAGGTAATTATTCGTTTTGCCTTCCAGTAGTAATAGGTGAGCGCCACTTAGTTACAGCATGTGCAAGGAAGGTCACATAGTCGCAGGAAGGTGTCAGTCTGTCCTGGCATTGCAAAGACAAGTTGATTGTCTCTGCCTCTGAATAGCTAGCACTTAATGCAGGAAAGTTGCTGAGAAGAGAGTTGTCAAATACAAAATAGAACAAGATAGTTTCAGATCTGTAAGAGTGAAGGAAGAACTCAGGATGAGCAGAGTGAGATAAGGACATAAAGGGTAATAATGCCTGCAAAGTTAGCAAGAAAATGTCATGGAAATCAGGTAATGGCTTAGAAAGAGATGGATCTCTGAAGCAGTCATGAAGAAGGAGAAAGTAGAAGACAGGCTGGAACATGGCAATTTGATAAAGTTCACTGTAGTACCATTGATAAAAGTGGAATGGTAGAAATGACAAAGTCAAGGTTTGAAGAAATAAGAAAAAAATTCCTGCAGTATTCTGATATCCTAGTACTAGATTATGCTATGAGTGTCAACAAGGTTCTCAAGGTAAAATTGCTTAGAAGAGAACTGATAAAAAGCTTGTTTCTGGAATTGTATCTTATTGATTTTTTTTTTTTTTATAGGGCAATTGGCTATATAATGTCTACACTGTTCTACCCAATCGTCACCTTCTTACTCATTGCAATTTGTATTTCCTACTGGGCTGTGACGGCTGTGTATCCTTCTGTCTGTGTACCTATCTGAAGCAAGTCTTCTGGTCTGCAAGACTAGATGATTTTCTGCTATTTCACATTAATTAAAACAATATTAATAGGGTTGTTTGGTCACTTAGCACTTACACCTCTGATGCAGTCTTCCATACTGCACATCGACATGTGATCTACAGACTGATTTTATTTGAATTAAAAAAAACTGAACTAAAATTCAGGCCAAGGCAGGGGGATCATACAAAGCCTGTGTGCTGCATAAGGTTGACTCTAGGGGGTGAAAAGGGCTCTCAGAGAAGAGTGAATTTGGTCTTTGATGTGCTATGCGCTCCATAGGCCTGCTGTTAATGGTTTCTTAGTTAACTGGAGGTAGAGTGGGTTGTGTGTGTTTTGTTCAGAAAAACATGAGAAAAAAGTGAGAGAATATACAGTGCACGATCTTCTCTGAATTGCCTGACAGCAACCACTGTTTGTTCCTGAACAGCAAGCATTTGGTAAGGACTAAAAAAAAGGGAAAACTGCTATTTAAAATCCAGCTGTTTTTTCATAGGCAAAGAGGGTCAGTTGCTGCTTTTCAGGGCAGTGTTAATTCATCCTTATGCTCTGTATTTAATTTTGCAAAGTACAAGAACTACTGCATAGTCTGCCTTGTCAAAGATAGATGTGGAGGAGAGATGGGGACAATTTTCAAGGTTATGCCCCCTGCCTGTTCTGCTCAGGGGCTATTACAGCTCCAGGTATGAGTCTGCCTTATTTCTCTAGGTAATGAGAGTACTTGGTCTTGTCTGTCAGATCTTCAGATATGTCTCTTCAGATCAAAAGCAGGTTTTCTGTTATCTACGCAAGTTTTTTAGGGCTAGTAGTTACCCACTGCAGAATCCTAAGTTGCACAAAAACCACAGTTTTGTGATTCCTTCTTAAAATATTTCATTCAGTTTTCTGGCCACATCAGGAGAACCTGTGTACAAAGTAATGGCTAATCAAACACTGTGCAAGTATGCAAACCTGACCTGTGACCCGGAGGTAAGTGTGAAAAATATTTACCTATAGTGAGAGCTATACTAATTGCATTTTTTAATCACTGTTAAATGCACTTCTGGTAAAAATGTGCATGTTTTAAGTAATGAGACCTCATGTTAAACCTGATAATATTACCTAATATTCAGGTAACACTTTCTTATTTTTCAGACATAAACTAGTTTTTCTGCTAAACTGTTCTGTAAATGTGAACATTCTAATTTACAGGGTGAGAAAGGAAGAGAAAAAAAAAATATTGGGAAGATGTTCTTGAATTTGTGAGGAGTCTTTTTTTTGGTTTTCCAAAGGCAGTGGTAAATTTTGAAAGCTGCACCTCAGACTTGCTCAGGGACTAGCCATGATTTGAAGCTGAAGCTTAGCCACTTCTGCCACAATAATTATATTTATAAAGCTCCAGAAATATTTGTATTTTTTTTTAAATTTTGTCCTCAGACAAATTTTTTTTACTTGGCTATGGGTTTGAATTTAAGGATTCTTTAAAAAATAGAAATATTTATCAAATGTTATGCACCAGGGGAAAAGTAACCCTATGCACCAGCACAGACTGCAGGTGACCTGCTGGAGGGCAGCTCTTTGGAGAAGGACCTGGGAATCCTGGTGGGGATGACAAGCTGTCCTTGAGCCAGCAGTTTGTTCTGGCAGTCAAGAGGTGCTTCAGGAAGAGCATCTCTGCTCTTCTGAAGTGTGTGTCCAGCTCTGGATCCTCAGCACAGCAGGGACAGGAGCTCCTGAGCTGAGGAAGGGCCTGGAGCATCTCTGTGCCCAGGAGAGGCTGAGGGAGCTGGGGCTGCTCAGCCTGGAGAGGCGCCCCAGCTGAGAGGGGCTTCAGCCCTGGCTGTGCCTGGCTGTCCCTGGCTGTCCCTGGCTGTCCCTGGATGTCCCTCAGCCCTGGCTGTCCCTCTGTCCCTGGCTGTCCCTGGCTGTCCCTGGCTGTCCCTGTCTGCAGGGAGAGAGCAGAGCATGAACCAGGCTCTGCTCTGGGGGCCAGCAATGGGACAAGAGGCAATGAGCAGAAACCGATGCATTAAGTTTCATTGTATTGCAGTGGTGATGCACAAGCTGCTGATGTCTGAACACTACAAAAGAAAGGAATTAGAATTCATCTGGTTTCATTTCATGTCCAAACCAAGCAAATACGTGAAATAAACACTAGAAATAGGGAAAAGTAATTCAGTATAAAGATGACTCCTTTTTATAATAGTCTGATATACATAAGCTGTGACCACATCCACAGTTTGTATTACATTGTATAGCTCAGTTTTTCATTTAAACCATGGTGATTTTACCTGAACATCCAATTTGGCCTCTAGTTTTCAAGTATTTTTTTTTTCCTTAATTGAGCAGATTTTCTTTAATGAAGCATTTATATATCTTAAAAGTAGATTCCTGAAATTTAAATTCCATTTATTCGAGTTTCAGGGATGTGGTTAACAACCCTGTTTGCCAATACCTAGTTTAAACTTAAGTCTTTGCATGAGACTGAATAAGTCCTTGATATGAATCCTTAAATATGTAAACAGGTTGCGTAGTGTTGCAGTTTTGAATGAGCTAATGAAATATCAGGCAGAGTTACATTGTTTGTATTAACCTGCTAAATATCAGGGGCTATGTATATAGAATTCATTGCTTATGATTGTGTTATTTTTTCTTTCTGTTTAGACTTTTAACACAACCAATGTGACTAAATTGTGCCCAGGTGCTCAGTGTACTTTCGCTTTTTATGGAGGAGAAGGCCTGTACCATAAGTACATCTTCATCTTCCAGTTAGCCAATGCCTTTGTCTTTCTCTGGCTGGTGAACTTTGCAATTGCACTGGGTCAGTGTACCCTTGCTGGTGCCTTTGCCTCTTATTACTGGGCCTATCGAAAGCCAGCTGATATTCCACTGTGGCCACTCTTCTCTTCATTTGGACGAGCAATACGGTAAGTCTGGAAGGGAGCCTTGTCATGCGTCTGACAAGTGCTCTTTTTACAACTAAAGAAGCCAGTCTTAGAATATATAAGAAAATTATTAGTCAGCATTATAGTTTAATATTGGTGGCAGCTAAGTCCCCCTCAGCTGCCTGCTTGCTCCCCCATAGTGGGATGGAGGAGAGAATCTGAAGGGTAAAAATATGAAAACACATGGGCTGAGATGAAGGCAGTTTAATAGGTAAAAGAAAGCTGCATGCACAAGCAAAACAAGGAATTCATTCCCCATTTTCCACAGGCAGGCATGTGTTCAGCCATCCCCAGTACAGCACAGAATTTTCATGAATAGCAGTGTCTTGGAAAGACAAGCTCCAAAATTCCAAATGCTCCCCTCTTACCCCTCCTTCCACCAGCTGATACTGCTGAGCACGACACAGTATGGCATGAGGTATCCCTGGGATCATTTGACGTCAGCTATCCTGGCCATGTCCCCTCCCAGCTCTTCAGGTACCCCCAACCTGCTTACCAGTGCAGCGGGGTGAGGAGCGGAGCAGTCCATGGTGCTGTGCAAATGTTGCTCAACAGTGGCTAAAGCATGGGTGCATTATCATTACTATCCTGGACAAAAACCCAAAACATAGCACAGCACAAGCTACTATAAAAAAAACCACAGTCCATCCAGCCAGCACAATTGGGAAGATGTAGTTATTGGGGGAAGGCTGGATCCTGTAGCCTTACAGTACCAAGGCTGCTGCAGCTCCCTGCCCCTAGGTCCAACCAATTGTAATGCTGAGCAGGTACTCTTAGTAGACACACACATGAAATACATGTGTACAACAGATGTGTACACAGATTGAGAGACAGACACAGGACTCACAAACAGCACCAGCACCAATGGCTTCATCCTGTTCCTCTGGTGGATCAGGATGAAGGTCCATTAGTTTTGTGTAATTCCCACTAATGGACCTTCCTTCACTTCTGATTTTATTTGTATATACATACACATATGCATACTTATATCCATGTACATGGGCACACATGTGATGTAACAGTCGAATATTTTGTTTTTAGATACCATACAGGTTCACTGGCATTTGGAGCCTTAATTCTTGCGATTGTCCAACTTATTAGAGTAATACTGGAGTACCTGGATCACAAACTGAAAGGTGAGATTTATGAATCTGCCATAAGTTGTTAAGACTTTCCTTGCTAAATTACTTCTTTACTCTCCCAAGCTTCTTTTTTAGCAAGGAAAAGAGACTAATTCAACATTATCCATTGTAGTTTATTTTGAAGCCAGTAAATTTGTGTTCATTTACTCAAACTGAGTCTATGATCTTGGGAACCTAATGCAAAGTTTAGATGGGATATGAGTCTGGTCTGATTGAAAGCTAGTGAGTTAAATTTGGTTGAGAGAGAGAGTCCATACCTAGAAATAAAGAAATGTCACAATTTAAGATCTTCTGAAGACTGCTCATGAGTTCTCTGTATGATGTATTCTCTCCTGCTCTTTTCAGGTACTCAGAACTCCTTCACTAGATTCCTACTCTGCTGCCTCAAGTGCTGTTTCTGGTGTTTGGAAAAATTCTTAAAATTTATAAACAGAAATGCCTACATCATGGTATGTGCTGTATCTGCATATGGTCTTCCCTATCTAGGACACTGAAATATCCTAGATGCTAGTAGTTGATCAGAAGGCAGCAATACTTGAATCTGCTGAATAAATAATGTGATTTATGGGAGTTTTCAGTACATGCATGTGGTTCTACCATGAAAAAATAAGATTTTTTTTTTTTCTTCTCATTTGAGCCTCCTTTTTTTCTTGCCTTTTTCCATCACTCTAACTCCCAAAATAATTGGGAAGGGATGGAATAACTGGTTAACTGCCCCTGTAATTCAGTCATTGATATCCTGGTTTCAACAGGAAAATTAACTTATTTCATATTGCATGTTGATGACATTTCTCTTTGGAGGCAGTATTTGAATAAGGAGGTCAGAAGGGATGTGATAATTGTATTTCCACCTGGAAGTTAAAAGCACAAATTCTACTAGCAGCAGCATCAGCCATATTGCTCTCAAATAAGCCTTCTTAGCTTCCAGATACAAGAAGTTTGAAATCTTCACATAAATTAATATACACAGATTTCAGCCTAGGATGTTCTGGCTTGAAGCAGTTTCAGTGATTGAGTGGTACATTCACAGACTTCTTGTCTCAAAGGAGGTGGCTGTAGTGGTCCATTACAACCTGTGTTGATGTTTCAAATTATTGCCATCTTGAAGAAGAAGCATTTTGACAATCTTTTTTACATTTCATAAAATGTCTGAGCTGAGAGCTGTTCTAGTATATCTTACCGTGCTGGACACTATTCCAGGAAGATGTGGATTTGTCCCTGAATAACTTTAGCTACCTTACTTTATGCCAATTTCTTCTTCAGGGAATGCAACATCAGGTCCAAGGAGATAGATAACTGCAGGGGTCAGCTCACTTCAGCTCTACAAGTGCCTGTTCTTTTCCACTGACTATAAATCTAGTGTAGGTAACTAGCAAAGGGAGAATCCCTCAACAAGTACCTTTTTTGCTCTGCTTCGCAAACCAAGTACTGGGTCTACTGCCTGTGAGATCACAAGAGGTGGCATGCTCATTGCTAGGTGATTTGAAGGGGAAGGATGGATAATATTCTGTCGCAGCCTGATGGGAGGTGTTGAGAAATAGCAGGTGACAGAGGGAACTGATTTCTTTCCATCTGAGTTTCAAGGCCACATATTAGGGAGAGCTATGCATTACATGCAGATAGATCCTGGCATACGAGACGCTATCCTAATTATTTAAAATACTTAACAGCTACTATTATTTTGCAGATTGCCATATATGGTAAAAACTTCTGCACCTCAGCAAAGGAAGCATTCTTTTTGCTCATGCGGAATGTGGTGAGGTAAGGGACTATCTCCCTGTCCTTGGAAATGTTTGGAGTTCTGCTGTTGCACTCTGGGCACACTTCTTTCCTCTCCCATATCTCTTCCATATACTGAGTGCTGCTTCTGTCCTCAGACATGGCCCTCACTTCTTGCACTCAGTGTGTAACAGCAGGCTGGCCAGTACAGTAACCTATGCAGAGTTGATGTAATCTTATGGTTTTGTTGTGATTGGTTCTTTAAATTCCAAAATATCCAGTATATTGTAATAATGCCTCCAAGAAACAAGTGGAGGCCCTGAGAGGAGATCTGCAGATACATGGGAATGGGATGCTCATCATCTGCCATATATTTGTTTTTTGAACTTGGTGTGAGAATGGAAAAGCAGAAAAACCTAAGTCTTCAGATTCATTCAGAAATCTTATGAGGTGTCAGAGAGTGGAAGAAGACAGAATAATTTAATTTCAAAAAGATTGTCTTTAACATAACCTGATCTCCTCTGATGCCTGGAAATTTCCTGGCCCTTTTTTTCACTACCAAGTGTGTTGCCAAACTCCCCATTCTCATCAGTACTTCCCTCCATTGCTCCTGGCTCCTCCTTTGCTATTGTAAGATCAAAAAATCATGGGAGAATAACTTAGGAGCAAGCCATATTGATGTAATATCACACAATCTAATTACCAAGCAAGAGACACAGTAAAGCTGGTTAGGTGGTTTAAAGCATTAAGTGAAGGATTGGGAGGAGGAGAGAAATGGACGGGAAGGCTGAAAGAGGAAAGTGGAAATTATGCTTCTGAAAGAAGAGGAAAGAACTGGAGTTGGGAGATGAAATATCTTCACTGTGTTACCCTGCACTGATATCAGGACAGTGATGTCCATAGTGAGTAAAGGCTGTGCAACAGAGAGGAGAAGCTACCTTTATTTCCTTACAGAATATCATCTCTCTGCTCTTTATGATTTTGCTCTAAATCAGTAAGAACAGTTAAAAGCTAGACATATAATTCTGTTGTTTCAAATAAAGGTATTTTTATCTTGTGTATTTTGCTAAATCTGAATTCTGACAGGTTAATGATGATTTGTCTCTTTAGTAGTTCTTAACATTTATTTTTCACAGTAGTTAGGACTATATATACTATATCCATAATGGTAATATGGCCCTCAATGCTGTCAAGAGGTTGTCGATACAAAGTTCATTTTTCAGCCCATTATTTATCTGCAGTTTCTGATTCTACAGGCTGGCAGGACATTGAGCAGAAACTCCCTTCTGTGCTTCAATGAGAGCTGCAGATTTACTGTCAGCTTTTCTGTCTGTCGTCTTTCATCTGTGATTATCTTCCTGCTTTGAAGTCTCCTGCCTTCCATGTTGTACCATGATATCTTAAAATAGTAGATTTGGCATGTTATGGGATCATGAAAGATGGCCAGATAAGACCAAGTTGAAAGGAGGCCTACCAGCAATCTACATAAATGTTGCTTTTTGTTTTGATGTGTACTTCCCCTATTCTGGCTTGGCTTATCTGTTCCCCTAGAAGTAAGCCTGAAATAAAAATATTTTGAAGTTTTGGGTTGGCTGATTTTTTTTTTATACCAACTTGAGGAATAAACAGTCTTCATGTCAATCCTGTAGCAGCATTGCCACATTAAGGCCTTATTCAGCAAAGGCTCAGTGTTTTTTTGCCTCCTGAGATTAGGCTGTAGCAGCACCCATCTCAGCACTGCCTGTCTGTGGTGTTGTGTTGTCAGGTTGTAAAACCAGGAGAAGACAGCTTCTGGTCATATTTTGCAGTTATCCATAGATTTAAGGAGAAAGAATACAAATGTCTGGTTTGTGATGATTATGTATCATTTGTCCTTGGCTAAACAGGGTTGCAGTTCTGGACAAAGTTACAGACTTCCTTCTATTTCTGGGGAAAATCCTTGTTGCTGGTGGTGTGGGTAAGCCAGTTGTTTGTTTGTTTCTTTTTCTAAATTGTGTGCTCTATTTTCTGGTGCCCACAAGCACGCCTGCCATGTTCATATATGCTTAGTTAGCAGCTGGAGGTTCTCATTGGTCTGAGTATTCGGAAATCTCTTTCTGTGTTTCTAGGGTTTGCTAGATTGAACTAAAACCTTTTTTCTTTATTTTCTCCCTTTCTCCCACTTGCCCAGCACCTAGTTTGCCTTGGCAGCATCTTTTCTATAATTGCTTTTACAGCTTTTGCATGTGTGGCTTGTGCAAGGACTCCTGCAGCCATGCATCATAGTTGAATCAAACAAAATTCACATCCAATAAGTCAGCCACAGTCAGTTCTCCTTTTGTAAGAACTGAACAAAATTGAAAATGAGATTCACCTGTTAACAGACAACTGCCTACAAGCTGTGAAGGTACAGGTCTGCAGGAATGGACCTGAAGCTCTGCTGTGTTCAAGCTCATTACAGCTATAAGCTATAGTAAAATAAATAGAATATTTCTAGCATCCTTATAGGGTTTTCTTTGTTATCAGTAAATATCAAGGAGATTATTCATGGTTTGCTGTGACAAAAAAGTGTTTTTCTATTTTTTAAAGGAAGCACTTTCAGAAATACAAGTTGTCAGTATTTTGTCATCACTGTAGAATTACATTATTTATTTATTTTGCTGCTAAATTCAGTAGTCTTTCTGGGCCCATTAATATCTTTATGGTAATTTATTCATTTACATGTCTCTTCTGTTTGATGATTAGTATTGAAGAATGTATTGTTTACAGACTTTTATTGAAACCAGCCTTGGATCTGTTGTCTGTCTTATCCATTCTTTAGATCATGGGAAATCAGAGCTAGCATGGGAATCACTAATTGCCTGTGCTTCTTGCAGGTGTTCTTGCATTCTTTTTCTTCACACAGAGAATACCAGTCTTTGCACAGGAAGTGCCAATGCTAAATTACTACTGGGTACCATTGTTGGTAAGGCAACCATTTAATCTCCTGAATGCTTGGGGCATTGAGGAACTCGGAGTACTCAGAGCATGGTCTAGGAACAGCTTCTTTGGTCAGCATCCCAGCGTATCCCATCATAGTATCCACTCAAGTGAGGACTGAGCTGCTGTACTCCAGTCCTCGGGATCCTTCAGGCAGAAGTGGCACTGCAGTGACTCTGAGCCTTCAGAAAAATTAGGTTTTACATCTCAGACTTCCCAGACAACAAGACACTGATGACACAGTATGTCTTCTAATGGAAAGGACTTGTAATGCATCTCTTTCTCCTTTTGTTGCCCCCTCCCCTTAAGCTTCAGAACATCTCTAGGCTGAGTGGTTCTTGAAGGATTTCAAAATACTCTTGACATATATTCTCCTCAGAAGTTGAAATAGTTCCAGTTTGGAACTATTTCAAGCTGGGAAACTAGAAGCTACTACTATGTTAGAATGCAGTATCTTGAACCTGTGATCCCTGTCCACAGCAGTAGTAAATACTGGTAGAAATACAGAGGTGACATTAAATTCTTCTAAATTTGATTAGCAGACTAGCCTTCTGACTTACATTAATACTACCACAGTGGTGCCAAAAGAAATTTGGGGGTTTATTGTGGTTTGTTTTTTGTAGACAGTCATCATTGGCTCCTACCTAGTTGCACACGGGTTCTTCAGCGTCTATGCAATGTGTGTCGACACACTTTTCCTCTGCTTTTGTAAGTACTACGTTTTCTTTCAGTAATACCTGCAAGTCATGGAAAGAGGAGTTGAAAATCACCTTATCCATTCTTACAGAATCTGGTGACATACTAGCAAACTGTATGAAAAATTAGCAGCTTCTTCTTTTCATATTGTCTCTGTGGTATAGTCTTCCGTGCTTTAGTATTCAAATTTAATTACTTTAAGAAGTGTAAGGTAGCTTTATGTTTTATGGAAATATCTGGCTTTTGTTTTTCAGCTGTTCTTAATTTCTTAATGTTCTTAATTTTCAACTGTCCTTAAATTTCATTAAGTTTGCTTCTTGGTGCTTTGTGAAGAGCTCTGTACAGTATTGATTTGCTTAAGTATTTTGACAACGGCAAATATATTATTTGGTATATAGATGGTACTTGCTTTTCAGTTTCATAATCCTGAACAAAGTATTATGCTGAATTACCTCAAAGATTCTATAAAATACCACTTGAAACTATCCCTTGGACTCCAAATGGAAAAAAATCATGGGCCTTGTCGAAGGGACTACTGTTCAGGCTGTACAGTCAGAGAATACTAAAATCACAAAAGAAATCTGTTGTTCTTAATTTAGAATGTGATTATAAGAAGCAGGCATCCTTATCATGTAGTACCTTCCATGTGCTGTATTTTTCTATAATGAAAGCTATTCTGGTAGGTCCAAGTAGAAGTTAGTTACATGGTAATGATTTTTCTTGCAATTTGCAATTTATTTGACGGTACTAAGGGAAATAGTCATAGGCTTTCATAAATACGCACTATAGGTTACTGAAGTGAGGTAAACATGGTAATACTGATTCTTTAAACACTCACTTTTATCTTGCTTCCCTAGAAACTAAGGTTAGCAGGGATTCTGAAAAACTGGGTTGCCAAAGAATCACAATAACAAGATCAGTTAGAAAACTCAAAATTACTATCTAGTTCAGAACTACATCCTATTTATCTCGTGTTATGCTTATGGTTCACACCATAAGAAAGTAAGCAAACGTGAACACAAGCAGACATAACACTAATAACAGTCAAAGAAATAAGCTAAGCCACAAATAAATTTCTGAATTATTACTGTTACATATTTATTTATTTATTTTGTTATTTAGAATGGACTATAGCACATTTGTTGGTGCACTCAAAACCAAATATATTTTCCTTTTAGTTTATTCCAGAGACACATGGTATATATTGCCATGGAGATACATTAAGATTTGCCTCCTCTAGCTTCTTTGGCCACTTCTTACAGCTCAGGCTCTCATCTTGGCTCTGGAGGTCCAGCTGTCTGCCTCTGCAGGGTTGCAGTTTCAGTGACACTCACTCACGACTGCCCATTGGCATGTAACTGTTCATTGGTCTGTCACTGCTGCATGGCACCAACTGAGCTGAACCCTGACTAGTGATTTAGTCATCACCTTCCATAGGAAAAAAACTAATGTCTGCCTTGTTGTTTTAAATTCATATTCTGTTCTGCCTCCCATTAAGAAAAGAACAATAGATCAGATAGAATATTATTACTTCACGGCAACAGGTTTTCAAGTGAACTTTATCTTAGGCAGTGAAAAATGGTCCAGTTTTAGAAAGTGCTTAACTCCATGGCTCTCTTCGTGACATATTTTCTAGCAAGAGGCTTCCAAAATGCCAGGGTTCAGTGAAGGAATGAGAATTCCTGAAAATTTCCACCTATACTGCCAAACCAAAGATCTGGACAATAAAATGGATGTATTGCTATCATTAAAAAATGGCAAGATGTTTGTGTCTCTCCTTCATGTAAAACCTCTTTTGGTCTAAGAAAATAGAAATTTTATAATGTCTTTCGCCAGCTTAATAATAAAGCTAAATCACCTTGATTTTCTTTTAATGTTGGGTGTTTTGCTCCCTCCTTTTTTCAGTTCTGTTTGTGTGTCTGTGTGTGTGATTGTTTCCTTTTCTGACTGGTTTTGCTGTGTAAATTCAGGTGAAGACCTGGAAAGGAATGATGGATCTACAGCAAAACCCTACTTCATGTCAGCTAGCCTCCACCGAATTCTAGGAAAGAAGAAGCTAAGCCCTAAGAAGGCAGTGGGATAATGAACACTAAATCTCAACATCAAAAAGTGTCACTTTTAAGCAAAACATGTATAAAGTAGGCAAAAGTAAAAACTGTAAATGATGCTTCTGGTTAATGGGTGATTCTTTTCTCCTTTTGGGAAAAAAAAAAAGCAACATTGGTAACATTTAACTAGTTTAAATGCTTAAACTAACAGCTGTGAAAACAAGGCCACATTTTAGTTTATAGAGTGCCTATGAAAAGGAAAATGTAAATTTGAAACTTTTATAAGTGTATAATGATGTTTTAATAACTTTTGTAATACAAGTTGCTACGTTAGATGACAGCAGTTTTGATAATGTTTCTTCTTATAAGTGTATATTTGTAAAAGAATATCAGGCAATTTTTTGAAAGCACTAAGTATAACCTAATTAGCCATAAAAAAAAGATAGTTTGAGACTCTAGTTAACGAGGAGATGGTACTAAATTTGTAAATATGGTGCTATGATTGTATTTTTTTGTACAAGCTGGTTCACAGCTATTTAAACTGTGATTATACATGCATTAATGATTCCCTACACTGAAAAACGTAGTGATATTTTAATCACATCCACAACTGCATCTTTTAAGACATGATGGTACCCTGCAGGTCCCAAAGAAGGTAGTCAGAAAAGACTTTAGTTGATACTACTTAACGTGAAGTTTTCTGGGAGTTGTGCTTAAAAGATGATATAACTGAGAGAAGGTCCCACTGCAGCTGAAGTGATTTGTGGTTCACACAAATGAGGTTTCATCTGGTACAAGATGGTGAATGTATAATTTTTAGCTGATGTCTAAGAGAGATGCACATGTGTTAATATTCCCCTATCATTGACAAGTCTCTGATTGCGTTCTGTGTTATAAGGAAGTTGAACTTCACTGAAATGAAACTAAATGCACTCTTTTTTTTCGTTGAAAGAAAGTCTTTACTCTGTGTGTGTGCACAGGGAGTTTCATTGTCTCTGCCTAGCTTAGAAGGGCTCCTACCAAGCCATTGGAATGACTGTGCAGGTGCAGAAGGTCAGGGCTGTGCTTCCTGCATGTCTCTGTGCTCCCAGGGGCTCACACAGTGAGGTACTAGGACATTGAACTCAAGTCTTCTCATGATACAGGATGAATTATTCAACTACTGGGAGTACTGAGATGCTCTTAAAGATTTAGTTTGCTTTTTGATTGTTAAATTTGCCCAGTTACTAGTACTAAAAGTCATTAATACACCTGTTGGTAGAAAGCACGTTAACGTTCAGCGTCTTTTATGACCCTCCCAGTAGTGGATATCCTATAGTCACTGCCATTAAGTAACAGCTCTGCTGATGGAAAAGGTCTTAACACTGGAGAGTTTCTCAGGTCTGTTACTGCCAAGACTGAGCTAAAAGTATTTTAATTTATTAGTCCCCTTGGGGGAGCCAAGGTCCCAGCCATACTGAGGCCAGCCCCTAGTTTTCATGGATTCCAGCATACTGAAGAAGTTATTCCAGTACTGTCCACTTTTCAGGAGTGGCGTGTGCCATACATTTGCCAGTTCTGTGACAGGAGTTCAGCATCTGGAAATATGTTCCTAACCCTAGAAGTCCATTGGTGTCACAAAAAGAAATGCAAATTCTTTTCCAGATGATTTGAAGGCAAGTTTCTAGGGAAAATTTACTGACCATCCACAGCCCAGTGGGATTTTGCTCTTTAATTTACAGCTCTGTTTGTGGTAACTGTGATCACTGCAAAGGCAGTAACACTCTCCTTCATGCCATGGGTCTGGGGTCATGTTGATACACAAGTGACCACCATCCACATGCTTGCAGTCATAGGCATGGCAAGATCTTGAAATTCAGTGTCCTGAGGTGCAGGTGGGAGTGTCCTTGTAAGCTTTCTCTGTGGTCCAATGGGTGCTGGAGCCCTTTTCCCTGAAGCAAAAATGGGGGGTTCAGTTTTGGACTCAAATAATGTAAAATAAAGGCATATGGTTTCAAATGTTGCTATTGATTATAGGCACCTTTAGATTTTGGTAACTGCTCCTGAGATACCCTAGAGTAAACTTGACTTTCAGAAAGGACTGAGAGTCCCACCTTTTGGAAAAAAAGGACTCCTGAGGGATGAAGTTTTTCATCATCATCATCATCATCATCATCATCATCATCATCATTCATTTCTCATTATGTGCATGGCATGGATTACACAACCCCCTATGATTCTAATATTTTCTGAGAATTTAGTCGGTAACTTTTGGGGGTATGTGTAACCATTCTGTGATTAAAGAAGCTGTTGGTCTCACTACAATCCATGTTGTAAACCATTTTTTTGTTTTGTTTCAATACTACTGATTAATTTTCAGCTAAAGAAACTGCATTACATAATCTATATTTCTACTGGACTTGAGTGTCTTACTGGGAGCTCAACTGAAAAAGCATATTTCTGATTATAGCTTGCTTTTTTATCATATGAATGTAACCACAGCGTTTAGTAGGAATAAAACATTATAGAAATAGTATACAGTTATTTGATTAGAAAACTTTTGTAACAAACCTATGCATTTACTAAAGGAATTTCTAAAAGTGAAAGTTTTAAATTGTATTATTATTTATATATGGTAAAAAATATATATGTATAAATTTGCTCCTCTCACTATTTTGTGAAAGTATTTAGAATGTACTGATCATCATTTCTGAGGAGAAAATTTGAAAGCCATTTTCTTATGATATAATTACGAGAACTGTGAAAATACAAAGCAATACCATGTAGATATTGTAATAAATAAGTAATTCAGTAAGTAAGTAGTAATTATTTAATATTAAAATTGGCTTTTTAAAAATAAATTCTTAATAATTACTAAGTCAAAATTAATGGAAATCTTTACTTGGGAAAGATTCACCTAACTTGTTTCAAGACTATCTTATTATAATGGTTCCTAGTTAATCCTGTGGGCCAGAGTCTGCAGATGTGCACCACAGAGGAGTACTAATATTGACACTTATGGATTTGGACTTTTACTTTATTGCTTGGTTTAGTATAAAATTCAAAATTCCATTTTTACGTTAGAGAGTGGAACACGGTAAAATATGCCATGTGCTTTGCTGAGCCCCCTGGAGCTGGTGACACAGTGGCCACAGTGCCACCAGCTGCGCTGGTTCTGTGCACGTGGTGCTGATGGACACAGGGCGTGGGGGCCCCAGAACCCGCAGGCTCCCCAGCACGAGTCAGGGTTATGCCAGGCACCTTCTCCTTGGGAGGAGCTGTGGAAAAGCAGGTGGAAAAGGAAGAAAGACCCTTTTACATAAGTAGAAATAAAGAACATTCTCAAGATCACAAACAAGCAGAATGTAGAAACCAAGACAGTAGAAAACACCTGCTTTCACATCCATGAAATCACGTTTGTTTAGTTTGGTTTGGATTCATTGTATCTCCTTAGACATATTACCGAATGGCTTCCATTTACATGTTTTATACCAAAGTTTTAATGTCAAGCCTTCAAATTTTGTAAAAAAAAAACCCCAGAAAACCCAGAAAAATTTTAAAAAAACCAAACCAACAACAACAAAAAAAACCACCACCAACAACAAAAAAACCACAAAAAACCCCCATGGAAACAAAACAGAAACAAGAAGACAGGATCATTTCTTCTGCTGAGGGCTTTTTTTCCCAAACAGTATTCAGCAGATGATTCTTGGGTGATCCAAGGATACTGAATATTCAAAATTATAGTATTTAATGAAATATTTTACAATTGCATGTTCTGCTTTAGAATGGGAAAAATATTTTGGTGGATGCAATGTCAGGCTGATTCTGGAATAGTCAGTAGGTGTTTTTCCACAAATGGGCTGTCAGAGAAGTGATTATGGAGAATAAACTGACAGTTTTTGGGTAACCCAGAATGTCTCTCTTTGGCCAGTTGCTCAGCCTGCACAGCTGTGTCCTTGCAGACCAAGTGCCTTACTGGCTGTTACTTTACCTAGCTTACATTTTGAAATTCATTTATACCGTGTAGACTACAAAACAGAGAAGGTTAGAACGGAAAACCAACACTTTATTTCAAACTGACTAACAAAAAATGAACTGTAGTGAGGATGTCAGATGTGTTTGCACTGTGTGATGCAGCACCCATCATTTCCCTGTTGCTGTTGTCAGATTATGAAAGTTGATTTTGTGGTCCAGGAGAAAACATGACAATAGTGTTGCAAATAAATGAAAACAATGCAAGACTGTTCCATTTTTATACAGTAGATTTTTAAAATAGCTTTAATTTGTGATACAGTGGACTTCTGAGTAGGGCCTATTCTGCTTTCTGTTTACAATGGTCATGCATGTTGTACCTGTGTAACTGTGGGTAGAACTGGGCTCTTGCTACTTACAACAGAAGGAATAAAGCTAAAAATTACATCTGTATTACTGTAATACATCTATTTGTGTGTTCATAAGCATAAAGTTCCTTCTCATTTCAAGACTGATAATTTCCTATTCTGAAACCATTTTATAAATTGTTCTTAACTTTTTAAACTTTTGATACAGGCAATGATTTTTGGGGTAATATGTAATTTGTACTGCACTGTAAACAGTTAGAAAATGAGTGTTTCTTCATGTTCAAGTAACACTAGTGCTACTAATATTAAAATTGTCTCTTACTCTATGCTACAAAATGTCCACATGCATTTGTCCCAAACAGAGTTTTCAAACCATAAAAATGGCTCTTTGAGGTTTAAGAAATGAAAGGTAGGTTAGTGTTTCATTAATATGATTCTTAAGATTGTATTGTTTTGCCAAAACCAATTTAACATGAGCACGATGATTTGAGCTCTAAACCCTGTTGCTTCTGCTATGCAGAAATAGAATCCTATTGTTTAAATATCTTTGATAACAGAAGTGCTTAATTTTGTTGTTACTTCACCGTTTTCCAGTTCCTGGGGATTGTTCTAATAAAGATTTCAATATAAGCCGGAGTGCGTGTGCACCGCGCCGGGCTGTACGCGGGGCTGTGGGAGCGGGGTGCGAGGCGTGAGGCGCAGTTTGGTGCTGAGGGCGCGCGTGGCGACCGCTGCCGCGTACGAGTGGAGCAGAGGAGGCGCCTGGAGAGGCCACTGCCGCTGCTCCTGTTCGGAGGGGAATTCTGGGGTTTATTTATAAAGGATGGAGGATTGTTTTTACATTTTTTCATTTCAATTTAAATTTTTTGAACCATGTAATAATAAACCATACTGTTTCTTGTCTGAACCTGAATTGAGATCTTATATAAAGTAAGCTATTTGGCTGAAATGATACCAGAGAACTCAGCCGAAATCTTCTTTGGAGTTTAGGAGGCTCAGTCTTATCTTCCCCTGTCTTTGTGATAAGCGAAGAAAACTTTATTGTACGCCATGAGTTGGCGGAGCATCACAGGCAGATGACCTGTGGCAGATGACTCCCCATCTGGCCTGTTGCATACGTTTTTCTGGAGGACAGGAAAGGAAAAGGCCACCACCAAACCCTGTGCAAAAGCTTTTCAGGGATGAGGATGGATTTCAGCAGAGTTAGCAGGGAAACAATTATTTGGAGTCGGGACAAAGAAAGAATTTGGACTCAAGGTTATGGGTATGCCTTGTAAGTCCGTATGTGGGGAGTCTTGTCTGAAGTTGCTTCTGACATTCAGCATTCCCTGCAATGAGATCTTAAATTAGCAAAGCAAGCTGGTATGGCTGTGTGTTTGGGATTCAGTGGCTGAATAGCAAATGGTGCAGACACAGAATCTGTGTGCACCTAATTGCAGCATATATCATTTAAGCGAAAATGAGTGTATATGAGGCTTATACCATAGGTTGCTATTTTTTGGCAAGAGTTAAATGCTATCAGTGTTGGTGGGTAGACTGGTTGGTTTGTGCTGTCCAGTCACTGACCGAGAGTAGCAGTAATTGTTCAGCCCAGGTCTGTGCCACAAGGGGTGGTAGGCAGCTGGAAAAGAGAACTTGTGAGAATTTTGTCGATTTGATCCCTGTATGGGCTCTTTACCTGAGAGTTGAACTCGATGCTCCTTGAAAATCCCTTCCAACTCAGAACGTTCTGTGATTCTGTGAAAGCAAATGCTTATGGAGAAGAGAATGACAGCCTAGGAGGTTTAGATGTGGGCCAGATCAGTCCAAACTAGACAGTGAAAGATGAACAAGCAGAAGTGATCTTCAGAGGAATATTGGTGTTCCCTGAGCCCAGGTTAGCAGCTAGACTGACATAGGCCATGCCACATGGGAAGAGGTACATTACAGCTGCTTGGAAGAGATAAAAGACACTACTGTGCTATGGTAGATCTCCATGAAAGCATATTTACTTTTGTTTCCCTTTTATTTGTTCTGGGTTTTTTTTCTTTTTAACATTTAATCAGATGCAAATTTGGCAAACAAAACCTGCATGCTTTTTGTTCTGTAAAGCATTGCTGTAAAACTCAATTTTGACCATGCCAGAAAGTAGTAATAGCAGTAAAGCATTGTGTAGGTTAAAGAACATTGAATAAAAGTGATCATGTATATCCTTGCAGAATCTAACGTAGTGTACCCAGAAACTGAAAGGTACAATTGTAATACAAAATTTATTTTAAGGGGATTCTGGAGGATAGAGGACCTTTACTGTGTCTCATATGTATTATTCTGATTAAAATCTGGAAGTTTTTATTTTTTAAGCTAACATCAGTATCTCCTGTTAATACAAGCAGCCTGTTGGAGCTGACTGCAGCTATTAGTTACGTTGTCCTCCTTCAGAAAATGTCAGGTTTACTAACAAAATTGCTTTCTTGCCTTTTATAAAATTTGTTTCCAGACTGATGGGTTTCTTACCTCACATGGTTTTCTTGCTATTCATATTACTTTTAAATCTAATGTTGGCTGTGTGCCATAGAAACTAATCCACATCTAGGTTAATTCAAAGCATACCTGGGGATTTTTCTCATGTACCAGCAGTCAGCTCTCCAGTCTCTTCTAGGGATCCTACTTTGGCACAGTTTGTTCTTTTTGGTTAGCCAAGAGGAATGTCATACTGTTCAAGTCCCTCAGGCAGCCCTGGAATGTGGACCAGTGACCCATGTCACCACTTGATGGAATGAAGCATAGCTACTTGGTTTCAGTCAGTAGGTTTGTTTTGGGAAGCACCTATGTTGTGAGCACCCTCTTCATGGAGGTGCCCTCTCCAGCACTGGTGCCAGCTGCTCAGGGAGAGAGGAAAAGGGGCTGCCTCCCTCTGCTCTGGCACCACAAGTTGTCATTGTGCTGAAGTGGTGTGCCCTGACTGAACTTTCTGCTAAAGAAGGAAATGGTGATGTTACTGACCTGCTACGTCAAACAGACCTTGGTCATAAATACGGGAAGAAAATATTCCTGGTTTTGTCTCAGCCAGCATCTGATGTGTACCATCTTTGCAGTTTGACTTTGCAGATGAATGTTGCTTTTGGTGCATTTTCTGCAAAAACCTGGCCCTTTTTTTGCAAATCCACACATCTGCAGATGGCTTGGAGAAGGAAAGGATTGTTTTGTATGGAGCTTCATAATGTAGTTTCTGGTTGCCATCATTTTCAACACATCTGACCAACTTAAGTTCCTGTGTTGAAATCAACTTTCATTTAATTAAGTCCCAGGTTCTCATTTCTGTTGGTTTGGCTGGGCTCTGTGAGCTATGAGTTTTAATTTTAGTATCTGAAAAATACTAAGTTTGGAAAAGAATCAAAGTCCTCCGAAGGAGAAGGGTCTATATTTATTTTGCTTCAAATGATAATGTCAAAAGGGTTTTGTAGTTTTTATTTTACTTTATGATTGTTTTAGTTTACAAAGTTCCACTTTCTTACAGAAATACTGACAATTTTAACAGTCATGACATTGGTATGTTTAAACTCACAAGTGGGTTGTTTTTTTGAGAACACTAACAATAGTCAAAAACAGACTAACAAATCATAGTATAACAGTCAGCTGTAGTGGTTCTGGGTCACCAGAGCTTAAAAAATTTGTTGTTAAACTCTTTGTGAGTTTTATGTTAGTGGCTCTTGTATTGCAGTGACAACTCTTCCTGAACTGATGATGTGATAAACCTTCACTGGCATATTTCAGTATATCAATGGAGCATGTCTGCACATCCCAGCCCACTACCCAGTCACCTGTACAAATTCCTCCAGAGACACTGAAGATCAAAGTGCATGTTGAAAGGTAACATTTTTATGCATTTAACTATGAACAACATAGATACATACTTCTTTGGTCTTAAAATCTTATTTTGGCTAACTATCTGTATCCCTATTATAGGAATGCTAGTATTTCTGCTGTTTCTGAAAGTAGTAAAAAAAAAGTGGCTGCTAGTGATTCCTGCATTCAGCATATTACAGCTTACATAGTATTTAAATGATACTTTTATGATTAATTTCCTTGGCTCACCTGCTAACTTACATTAAACAAAATCAAATGCTTCCCATGTGATTTTTTTTTTTTAATGGAGTAGCTATCTTTAAAATGCAATGGCCTAATTTTAAAATAAGAAAACGTGTAATTTTTTTATATACAAGTATACTGTTGTCCTAAGTTTCCCCTGTTTTGGTAATAACCTTTGTTTTTGGGAAGCTTGGAGCAGGAGACATCTTTCTCCCATGAGATTAACTTGGGAAATAATATTGGTGCAGTTAGTGATGGCAGTTGTCATACCATTCCAGGAAGGGGATTGGTTTCTGTTGCATTATGGCATAGTTTTAAAGAAAACTCTCTGTCAGCCCAACACCATCTTCTGATGGCTCTGGCACTGTCAAAGGAAGACTCAAAGACCAGATTCTCTGCTTCAGTCCCCTATTTTAAATGCAGTCTGCATTTTCCCAGCCCCACCTGTAAATATCTGCTCGTGCAGTCAATCATAGCAAAAGATGAATGTTCATGCTTCCATTTTCATAGGGAAATAGGAAAATTGCTCCCCATGTACTTTAATCCTGTTCTGACTTTGGAACTGCACCGAAAGAGGCATTTCATAAATAAGCTTAAACTTGTTTTTGTTTAAGGCAACTTGAAGCTACTCAGTTCTTCAAATAAGAGAGAAGTTTTCCTTAAAGGGGCTCAGTGCAAGCCAAATTGCATTTTAAATTAGCAATTTATGTTAACATCTAAATTAACATTACTTAGTATTTAACTGGTAAAACTTCAACATATCAGAGAAATGAACGAAAACTAGTTTGTCTCCTGCTGTACATGCACTGTGGTAGCATGCAGATATATGAAACTAACTTAGGTACGGAAAATGGCATCTGGAATTCTACCCAGGGAATTTAACTTAAAATAAATTAACTCAAATAAGATGTAAGGTCAGTCAAGTTTCACTGCAGCCCCCATCTTGAGTGTTTTGTGAAAAAAAGAGAAAAAAGGGCAGGATAATAAAAGCCTTGACAAACCACTGTGCCAGTGCAAGGAAATTGCTTTGGATACTCTGATTAGCTCAGACATCTATAAGCAGCATTTAAAACAGAGCCAGCATTAAACTTACAGAACTTTATTAATTCAGAGCTTGCCATCAAAGTTCTGCTCACAAAAGTCATCAACAGAGAACACTACCTTTTCTAAATTGAAATGGTCTGACCAGCACCATTAAGGAATTTCACAGAATATTTTCTCCTCATAAAAACATTATCAGCTGTAGCAAGAACAATTTACCGAGTTCTAACCCTCACCGCTAGTTGGGAGAGAAAAGAAAAGGGATAGGGACACACACACCCTTCTGAGGCAGGGTTTCCTTCTGATGCAAATAAAGTTCAAATGAGCAAGGGAATCCATCTTAAATCATTGAAGGAAACTAGTCTTTGAAGACAAAAATTAGCTGAGTTTATAGTAACCTTTGTGCATCCAATTGGTGTATCAAAACATGCTCTACTAGCAAGTCTTAGAACAACAACAGCTCTAAACACAGTAGACTGTGGTACATTTGACTGAATTCCAGTCATTGTTCATATGCAGTT